AATAATACCTTTACTGATGAATATTTACAATGTTTAATTTTGATTTTGTGAAATGCCCGTTTAAGAGTGCACTTACCACTTTCTGACATTCTCTCAATTTTTTTGACACACATGCTTTCTAACCCAATATTCTAAGGTCAAAAGTTAATATTTTTGGTCAGGAGAAAGTAAATATGAATCACTATAGAGAACCTAATATGACTATCATACTTTTCTGCTAATAAAATAAAGATATATTGATTTTTTCATTGCATGTCAGAAAGTGGTAAGTGCACTCTTAAAATTTTTATTTTTCCCAAAATCATCAGTAAAACGTATTATTCATTCAAAATCTACTAATAGAACTCAAAAAGTAGAAACCGTAATGTTTGCTGCGCGTGTTCCCTGATTTTTCCTTGAATTCCCTCCAAATTATTGAAATTATTGTTGCTAATTTATTGAAATAATTTGCCCCAGTTCAACCAAAAATAAATAGTAACGTCGGCAGCGTTATTTAAGAATAAACATTTCATTTCTTCAATTGATTTTTCCATACCGTATTCAGATTTTTTAAAGATATATTTCTTTAAAAAAAATAAACAAAACAAAATAAATATTAGGCAAGTCCGTGGACAAAGTTTAGTCTATGGATAACTAACCTTGTCAAATCTTCTTCAATATTTATATCAAATAAAGGTACAGCTTTTTTATTAAGTTATCTCACCATAGTTTTTGGATCTTAAGGGTCCACTGTAAAAATTGAAAGTCTCTCAAAATTGAGAGGCGATTTGCAAATAATCATTATCGTCTTTTTTCGAAAATCCACTTTTCCTAGTGTTCTGATTAATATTTTGTGAATGTAACAATAAAGTATATGTTTTAGTAAGATGATAATACATTCCATCACTTCAAATCACATAAAAATTGCAAAATCAGCGAGTTTTATAAGAACATGATTTTTCGAATTTTTTCGCTTCTGGATGCGTGTTTTGAAAAATAGATATTTTCGAATTTTGATTTTAATTTAAGTATAAATTTTATATTAGGAATTTTTTTGACCTATTTCCAATCATTAATTCCTAAGTTTTTCTAGGAATTTAATTGAGAAGAAATTAGGAAATTCGCTTTAATGCCATTACATCCTAATATTGTGATGCATGTAGTTTATATTTATTGAGGCTAATGCCGGAATATCGTGCATTTTATAAAAAATTCAAAGAATTGACAATTGGATAGCACAAATTTAATTCTCTAGACAAAGTAAAAAAAAAAAAAAAAAAAAGGTAGTGGGGCTTCCAGGCACTTCGTGCCCTCTAGCCCTGAAGATGTTTAGTATAACTTTGTCCGGACAAGTAAGGGTCTATCGTCGCTACAGGAAAAGTTACGGGCGTTCCAAGGAAGTATACTTTGAGAAGACTTTCCCCCTTATAGAATGAGATAGGACGGTTATTTTACAAAACTGACAACACTTTGACCGAGTAGTTTTTTGTGCTGAACAAAAAGTGTCATATAAACATCTGTCAAAAACCGCTTTTTAACTTCACTTAAAATGCCACGTAAGCTACGTAAGAATATACGTAAGAGGAAGAGAGCATTGAAACATCCAATAGTAAAACTGACACCACAACAACAGTTGCAACAAACAAATAATGAATGACCCCACTATGTTGCAACAAATGTCAAGCAATCCTATGCTTTTAAACCGAGTTTTTGGTGCACAGAGTGGAGGTTTAAGAGCGGCACTTTTAGCGAAAATGGCAGGCTATGGTGGAGCTGCAGACGGAACAGCCTATAACCCTCAAAGTCAAATGAATTTGAGTTCACTCAAAAATCAAATATCAGATGTCAAAAAGTCAAACATAGACATACAGAAACAAATAGGTGAAAACGAAAAGAAACTAGAATATGACAGACACACAAAGAAACTCAATGAGTTAAACGTAGAGAAAAAGAAGAAAGAAGAAAACTGAAAGAACTAAGTACAGAGGAATATGCGAAAAAAGTGTCAGAAAAAGCAGCAGAAGTAGCAAAAATGGAACAAGATGTTGTAAATTTGAAAAACCATACTACTCAATATAAAGTACTGAAAGATGAAGAGATAAAACAAAAAGCCCTGAAGACATATATGGATAGCGATGAGTATAAAAAAGAAGTTGAAGCAAATGTAAAGGCAGAAAAACTTTTACAGTTGCAAAACCAAACCGTACAGTATGAAAACTTAGCACAAGAAAGTAAAATAACGACGCAGCCATGCAAAAGGCAATGAAAAGCGCAGAATATATAAAAGCTAACAATGACTGGTTAGATGCCCAAGCCAACGCTAAAGCAGCCCAACTTATAGGGTCAATAAGGACAAAAATACAAGCGGATGAAGACAGTTCAAATGAAGCTTTAATGAATGCTGACTTTAAGAACGCCTTCGAAGCTCTTCATAGTAAGGTGAAACTAGTGAACGACTTCTCATCTGGAAAGAAACTGAAGTCTGAAGGTTTCGACAAAGAGTTAAAAGAAGTAGCACAAAATATGACGAAAATAACAGATGCAGCAACGAGACAGGCAGTTCAAAGTGCCTATGACGCCGTTAGAGCAACTGTTGTGGAAAGTCAAGAAAAAGAGTTACAACAGACCAAAACAGACCTAGTAAATGCTTTCTTAAAAACGAAAAGTCAGGTAGGACATTATGCTGCAGATGGAACATATGTGCCAGCTGGTGGAACTTATATACCAGCTGGTGGAACTTATATACTAGCTAGTGGAACTTATATACCACCAAACCCTCCAAGAGAAGCACCTGCACCAGGACTACCTAAAACATTTACATCGTCACATGGACACAGACACAGGCATGCACCAAAACCAACACAACAACCAACAGTTCAAAATCCAGCACCACAACAACAACCAAAACCAACAGTTCAAAACCCTGCACAACAACCAACAGTTCAAAACCCTGCACAGCAACAACAACCAACACAGCAACCAACAGTTCAAAATCCAGCACAACAACAACCACAAACAGAGCAAGGACATAAAAGAAGTAGAGAACAAGGAAACCAAGAATTCTTAAAAATGCTTAAAGAAGACTATGGTTACCCAGATACTATTGACTTTAGTGACAGATATAAAGAAGCTATTCGAAAGTTCAAGGAAGGAAATACTGACCCGAACCTATTTAGCTTTATGGTTCAGCACCAAATGGGATATAATTTCAAACCTGGAAAATACAAGCTCGCTAAGGGATATGATTTAATAGCATATCATCCAAATGACATGAACGAATTTACTCCGAGATATTTGGTGTCAGAGATAAATGATGATTCAACTATCTTCATGAAACGCGTAAAAAATAGAGACGGAACGAAAGAACAAAGGCTTATGAATGCGGATGACTTAAATAGGGAACTTGTTGAAAACGGTCTCGGAATATATGAAATGCCAGCAGATGAGGTACAAGAAACTCCACAGAAGAAGTTCAGATACAACCAGACATGGAAGAAATAGTTCAGCAACAACAGCTAGAAGAGCCTGAAGGAAACGAACAAGTCCCTCCTTTGGAAACTAACTTCACAGAACTAGATGAAGATTTGGAACAGCCGAAAAATCTTGACCCTCAACAAGAGTATGAGGTGAATATGGAATCTTTCCAAGAGTCTAAAAAAAATTCGGCTGACATAGTAGAAGAATATCGAAAAATGTTTGCCGACATACAAAAGACTCCAACACCAGATGAAAATATTCAGCATAGAATGGAAGTACTGAAAGAAAATGTACACAAATACAACAACCCTTTTTACTTACGACCATATAACGTTCAATCTTTGGCTGAACTCGGTGAAAATAAAAGGTTAAATTTCAACAAAACATATAGAAATGAAACATTGTTTAAAGTTCATTCAGAACCTAACCAAGATGGAAACAAACCTACTTTTGTTTCTGCAGACTATGGAACTACAATGAGATGGGGTCATAAAGCTAACCCGGATAGGTGGTTCATAAACTTACAACCACAATTCCAAGAAGTTGTAGACGCAATGGAAGTGAATGGTGAACCAGATATAGCTGGTATTTTCAGCGCGGCTTTAATGCCATTGAAAGATATGAAACATGCAGATATTTTGGACCAGTATGAAATGAACATGGCTGAAGGAAATATAACACCTGACGTTCTAGAACATTTATCTCAAAGAACTACACAGAACCATAGAGATGGTATATTTGGTGAAGAGTTTAGAAAGAAAGTTAGGGAGAGAGAAGGAAGAGAACCTATTGTACATGACCTTGCAAACGAAAGTTTGCAAAATGTCATAAAAACTTACTTTGCAGACAATGAAATGAGAAGGGATGAATATTTAAGAAAACTCAAATGGACAGTACCAAATGAAATGTTAGTATTGAAAAACATGTTCCTTGACAAAATAAAACCAACTACAGAAATAAATGACGCAAGACTGAAACATTGGGTAAAAGCTTTCCCATTCACAAAAGATATTGTTGGTAACATGGAAAGAAAACCAGAATGGCTACAAAAACATATATTTGGAAACGAGCTTATTCCATATGGACAAGCTCTGTTTGAAGAGCTTGAACCGGAAACTCAGGAAAGAGTCATGCAAACAATACGCGAAGACTCAAATACAAACTATGACAAAATCTTTCTAGGATATAGGTTACCTGAGATGGGCGACCAGAGCCCAACGGCAAAAAGGACATGGGAAATTTACAACATACTAGGTGAACATGAGGCAAAGATGCAACAACTTGAAGCAGAGGGCAAGTTACCAAAAGCGACACCAAAGAAGAAGAGAAGAGTAGAACAAAGTGAAAATAGTGAAGAACAAAGTGAAAGTAGTGGCAATGAAGGAAAAAGAAGAGTTAAAAACTCAGTCAGGAAGAAAGTAAAGCTTGGTCCGAAACAATTATGACAAATAAATCCAACTATTCTATATTTTTACCCATATGAAATGTACGCCGCTCAGAATATAACGCCAACAGTTTTGGATGCCATGAATGGAAATGTTTCCGAATGGTATAACGAATGCGACAATGCCATTAGAAGGTCAGAAATAGTTCCTGGAACTTACGAATATACAACTGCTGTTTCTTATGGAAACGTAGGTGAGTTTGGAGAAGGTTCTTCAACAACAGTAGATATTGCTTGCGACAGGTTTCATATTATTTCTATTGACAACTCATTCTTATACGTGGAACAAGACATTGAAATAAAACCTTCTGCCAAGTTGTCTGACAAGAAAGGTTGCAATGGAATTTTCTATGTCGGATACCAATATGCTCCAGAAGTTTTCATGGGATATAAGATATATTCTAACTCTGACTTAGTTCAAACAGTAACATGGGCAAACTATGAATGGTTCGCTTTGAGAAACTCAGTACAACCACAAGCTAGAGAACAAACAGACCAGTATGCAACTATTGAGAAAATAAGAAGACTTGACCCTAACGTTCCAGGAGTTTATGTTAACCTTTCTGGTTCAGATGGAAATGCTGTCACTAAAGTAAAAACTGAAACTTAGAGTTCCTTTGTCATCTTTCCTCATCTTCAGGTTTTTAAGATACTTGCCAAACTGGGCAGGAAAAAATTTCTATTGAACTTACTCCAAGCAAAAATAACTTAGTCATTGCACCAACACAAGACCCATTCACTATTACAGAAGTAGTGGGAACAAATAAAATGTCATTCGCCGACTTTTGCAAAGACAAAGTTGACTTAGATTTTTGGTTTCTCAAACCTCAACACTGAAGTAAACTATTATTTCAATGCTGCTGGAACTGCTTGGGACCCAGTTAAGTTCACATGCGAAAAGTTTGAATGCAAGAGAATAGAAAGCAGACTTGCAGTCTATATGTTGGACCCAGATATTTCAAATGCTTTAGCTGCCAAATATATTGCAGTTCCACTTATGTTCCCTATACACCAAATATCTGTCAAAGACTTTGCAGGTGAAGTTGGAAACCAAAGTGCTGACCCAGGTGCAAGAACAGATATTGCCTTAACAACTGCAATGAAACATGCAGATACTATGTTTGTACTGTTCAGACGAACTATAAATGACTATTCTTGTTTCTACAACCCCGGTATTAAATATCATATAAACATAGATGGCAAATATTATCCAAGAGAAGAATATTCTACAGTTGAGGATATGAGGTCATACAACTTGACATTAGATGCTATGAACTTTAACAACAATTTCACAACAACCATTAACCCTGAAATGCAAAGTTCTATTATGCCATATGTGAAAGTATGGACTCATACAGGAGGTCAAAAAACTCAATATACAAATGGAGACCGTTCAAACTTTTGGCTTGGCATTCCATTTTGCTGACTCAGAAGACTTTATGGGTGGTATTTCAACTGTTGGTACTGTACAAATACAATATACTGGTGACAGAGACGGTCCAGATGAACTGAGAGCAAAGAAGTTTACAAAACCAATAGCACTTTTCACGGAAGATGCTCTTTTGAAGATTCGTTCGATGAAACCTGCTGGGGCTCCTCAGATTGGCATAACGACAGCTTCCATCGAGCAGATTTTGGCAGCAGGTCAGTAAGTTGTTCTTGAACTGACTTCTCTCCGTCAAATATTGACAGTACGCCAGTTTTGACATAATATTGTATTATAAACTTACCTTTAGAAATATCTGTAAGTTTTGAAGTTATATTTTTGTCTGCTTCAAGAACTTTCACCATTTCAGTTATACCAACTTTCTTTGCTTTATGAAAATATTTTGGTTCAGCAAAGACTGCTATTCTATAACATTTACCATTGTTTGTATAAAGAACTATTCTGTCAATGTATTTGTATTGTTTGTGTGTGTAAACTTTGTTTTGCTTCAATTCGAAGAGATACTCAAATACGTCCATCTTTTTATTCTAAGTAAAATGTCATTTCCGAAAAATAGAAGCGTAAGTGTTTCAAAAGGTTTAATGGCGGTGGCAGATGTGAAGTTAAATTCACCAACTCAAACAAACAGTCAAAGTGTTGTTGTCAATGTCAAAGACAGAGATGTTGAAGTGGGGAAACCATACGAAGACAAAGATGGTATAACAATAGTTCCTGTAAAAGAACAACCAACATACCCTGAAGTTAGCAGAGACTTAAGTTCTGTTGCAGATATTCGAAACGACTACCAACAACTGAAAGACAAACTTCAAACTCAGGAGAAGATTTGTCAAGCTTTAGGTATAATGTTAAACTTGGTCGAACACAACCCTGTAAAAGTGAACTCATATGTCATTGCACCTCATGAAGTTTTGAAAGAACTATTGAAACTTTTGACAGAGGCAGACAATATAAACATCAAAGAAATAGAACCCGACGTTAGTTGCTGTGGTGTTTCATATAATGTCATTGACAAGATATACGTTATGAAAGGAGGCGAAACGTTGAACTTAAAATATAGTTTCCCAGACGTTATAAAAATATTTGACGACCACAACATTTCATTAAAGTTTATTTGCTAAGTAAAAATGTCAAAACTTCTTGAAAGATGTTTGAAGAAAAATAATATAGACTTTATTTCATGTAAAGGACTTTACACACTTTTGAACGATATGAAAGACCCTGTTTTGTTTGTTCGTGTAGACAAAGGAAAGTTCTATGTCTTTACAAAATATTTGAACTTCTTAGATAGAGAACTTCAAGAAACGCCATGTGAAAGTTTAGATGAAGTTCTTCTCCACTTTCAGAAAAACTTTTAAATATATATAAATGGCAGAAGACATAGTGGTTTATACTATTACGACTAAAAACCCTGAGTCATATAATTCTATAACAACAAACTTACAAAGTCCTCAAGGACGATATTGTAAACTAACCTTAAACACAATGACGACTAAAGCCTGTTTTGCTCTTTTGACACCAGAAGATTTTATTGTTGTAAATGGTAAAAAATACTCCTTTGAAGATACTTACTCAGATATACCACCAACAGGTTTTGTTGACTTATTTAATACTTTAAGTACGGGTGTAACATGTGCTGCAACTAGAGCAGGTTTCATTATGTTTGGATGTCCGACTGAGTTTACTATAAACGATATGAGCTATAATACAAAACTTATTTCTGGTTTTTACTACCAACAGTTTCCATAACAGGAAAAGGTGTCATACAAGGAATGTCTATTCCATTGACATTAAGCACACCTATTTTATATATTGTTTCAAACTTAGGTTCAAAGTGCTATTCGAATGTCGACAGAAACTACTATGACCAAAAGATACTTATGCGTATAAACAACACTTTCTCTGCTGGTTTGCCTATTGTTCATTCGAATGCAGAATTTTCAACCTTAGTGAACTCAAACACTTTGGCAAGTATAACGTTGACATTAGTTGACGCAAACTTTGTTCCTGTAAAACTTTTATGTCCTATGTATTTGTCAATGACGGCAGAAAGTTTCGAATTGGAAGATGCAACTGGTGAAAGTATTGTATTACAAGAACAACTTCAACAACAAATAGCTCAAGAACAACAAATGCAACAAATGCAACAAATAGCTCAAGAATAAAAAAAATATTTTTTTTATTTTTATAAAAATGTACAGAATAGATGTTTCAGATTTTTATGACTTCCAAACATTCAGAAATATGTGTCCATTTCGAGACTATAACAAAGCAGTCGAGAATTTGAAACGTTTAGTCATTTATGTCGACTCTGCCCCAGAATGTTATGTTATGAAAGAATGGGATGTAGTCTTTAACAAACCAAGAGCAACAATAGTTTCAGAACAAGAATGTAGACAGAAACTTAAGAAAATAAAAGTCGTACAAGTTGGCATGAAGATGTTAGATGCTTGGGATATCTTATTGTCAAAGTTAGAAGATTTTTCAGTTCGAGGTATAAAGTTTTATACACCTTCTCCAAACTTCTATTCTATCTTCACTGGATATAAATATGAACAAGTAGAATGGAAAGAAAATATTATAGAAGCTTGGTTAGACCATGTCAAAGAAATTATATGCAATGGAAACGAAAGAGTCTATGAGTATATCTTATGTTGGTTTGCAAACATCTTACAACATCCAAGTGCTAAAAATGAAACTGCTCTCATTATAATTGGAAAACAAGGAACAGGTAAGAACACTTTCTTTACAGATATCTTATGCAAACTGTTAGAGGGTTATTCGAATCCGAATATGACAAACTTAGAAAACATCTGCGGTAAATTTAACTCTTCAATAGAGAATATGAAACTTATAGTATGTAACGAACTTCAAAGTATAGATAGACAACAAAAGTTTTGAACTCAGATGCTTTGAAGAGTCTTATAACAGACAAAGTTGGAGTTGTTGAAAGAAAATATAAAGACCAAAGAGTTTGTGAAAATGTTGCAAATTTCATTATGGTTTCAAACAATGCTGTTCCGATGAAGTTAGAAAGTTCTGACAGAAGATATGTAGTTGTCAGAACGTCAGAAGCTCATATGCAAGATACAGAATATTTTGACGCTTTGTCAGAAACTTTGACATCTGACTTTTACAACCACTTGTTCTCATATTTTATGACATTAGATATTTCAAAGTTCAATCCAAGACAAATTCCACATACCGAAGAGAGACAAACATTGTTAGAAGCAAACAAGAGTGTATATGAACTGTTCATAGATGAAACTGACTTTGAGTGTTTAGATGAAAGGTCATTGTACGATTCGTATAAACAATATTGTCAAGAGTATGGTTATATGACAGCGTCTAAACGAACATTCTTGGCAAATGTCAAAAGTCTTTTAGACGTACAGAATGGTGTATATACAAAGAAAAATTTTTCTGAGTAAATTTAAAAAAAAAATATTTTTTTTATCCGATAGAAAAGATGACGAAATTCATCTCAGTAAACAAGTACATGTCAGGACTTAAAGAAGAACTAGACCCATTCACATATTTGAATGTTTACTTCTACCATTTTGAAAAGTCTTCATTCAGCAAAGTTTGGAACATCGAACCAGTTAAGTTTGCTATTGTGACTAAAAATGGTGCGAAATTTGAAGACTTAGACATAGAAGGTTTGTTAACAGTCAAAGAAGGTTTTGACAGAAGGTTCTCAAACCTTAAAGAAGGCAAAGCATACAAACTTGTTATACCTTATGAACCAAAGAAAGCAGACGACTATGAATATTATGAGTCTAAAGTTGTAGAAGTTCAAGGTAAATTGGGTAAAAAGATTTTAGAGTCTAAGCCAGTGTTTACTCCTAAAGAGGAAGAGAACATTGACATTGACCCAGAAATGTTCTAAAAATAAAATTTTATTTTTACATGTCAAATTTCTTTTTCTCTGGAACTGGCTCTGGTTCTTTCTTCTCTTCTTCTACTTTCTTTTCTTTCTTTTCTCTCTTCTTCTTTTCTGGTGGAGTTATGTTAAACTTCTCAGAACCATATTTATGTAAAAGTTCTTTGTCCTTTAATAGCTCTTCTATTCTGTTTTCTATTTCATCTTCAAGAACAGCGCATGTGTCTTCTTTGCATTCTAAGAACTTTTGTTGGACTTCATCTTTCCAATCGGTGTCATCTCTGTCAACAAGTCTGTCATTGACAAATTTTAAGACTGCTCTGCTTAATGTTTTATGGTTCTTGTCATATTCCCAGAAACAGAACTTTAGAACAAATTCACCTTTCTTGTTTACACTATGTAAGATTTTATGGTCGACAGATGTTTTGCTGTCAAAAAGTTTGTCTCGAATATAGATGGCGAAATCGCTAGACATTTTCTAAAAGATAAAAATTTTAATTTTTCTAAAAATATGTTAGAAAAAAAGTTTGCTGACATTGACAAGAAATTTGAGAATGTTTTAAACAAGAACAAGGTGAAATTAGAAAATGCTCAGATAAAGCCTATACATGACAAGTTCTTATTTGCTCAGAATGGTATAACAGGTCTAATTGCACCGCCTGGGTCGGGTAAGACTTTCACTTATCTTAAAATGGCTGCACAACAACAAGAACTAGATGAGAAGAACCCATTCTATGAGTTAGTTGTTATTTGTAGTACTTCTGGTCAATTTGACCAAACCGTAAATTCGTTCAAAGATATTATAAAGAAGTCTAAGTTAGTATGTATAAAAGACTCTGAGTTGTTAGATTGGATAAAGAAGTACCAAAGAAGAGTTTTGAAGTACAATGCTATAAATGAGTATATAAATTCTAAGTTTAAAGACCCAAATGAGGAAATGCAGAGAATATTAGAGAAGAAACACTTCAGAAACAAACAGAAAGAGATAGAATACATTTCGAAGAAATTGCAATCTTACGATTGGAAGACATACCCTCATAGATGTCTTCTTATCTTAGATGATTTCGCCTCTCATCCTTTGTTAAAGAACAGAGAACAAGACATGTGTCGAATTCTTAAGAAGCTCAGACACTTTAACATCTCAGTTGTCATTTGTGTACAGACAGCAAAGAGTTTAAGTAAGGATGTAAAGAGAATACTTACTGACATTGTACTTTTCCCCGGATTGTCCGAAGACGATTTCATGGAACTTATGAAAGAGTCCATGGCAGGTAAGTTTGACAGACATGAACTATGGGAGAAGTACAAAGTCATACAAGACCCTCATACTTCGTTCAGAATTCACATCTACGCGAACAAAGTTCAAATTGTAAAAAGTCAAGCTTGAAAATGTAAGTGTTTTAGTCTTAGTCTGTTGTGGTGCTGGGGCTTTCGGTTCTTCTGGCTTTGGAATGGACTCGGTTGGTGGTACGTCACTCATCCGTTTGTGTCCTGTCGGAAGGAAGGACTTTTCCTGTCGGAAGGAAGGACTTTTCCTGTCGGAAGGAAGGACTTTTCCTGTTGGAAGGAAGAGTTCTTCCTGTTGGAAGGAAAATTTTTTCCTGTTGGAAGGAAAATTTTTTCCTGTCGGAAAGAAAAATTTTTCCTGTTGGAAGGAAAAATTTTTCCTGAAGGTCGGCCAAAAAGTTCTCAATTTTCGAAAATTTGAATGGTTTACGGACGGACAACTGGAAAAATTTTTCCTGTTGGAAGGAAAATTTTTTCCTGTTGGAAGGAAAAATTTTTTCCTGTTGGAAGGAAAATTTTTTCCTGTTGGAAGGAAAATTTTTTCCTGTTGGAAGGAAGAACTTGGAATGCCAGAAGGAAATTTTTTTCCTGTCGGAAGGAAGGACTCGGAATGCCAGAAGGATTTGACAAGACAATTTACCATCTAGAGCTACCTGAGCCATCTTTGGTGTCAAGCTTGAAAAATAAATGGTTCATTTACTCTTCCTCTTTGAAGTTGTCAAAATACTCTGTTATTTTTTCTTTCAGTAGCGGCAAATCTTCTTTGAATGTAAGTATTGTACAACCTTTCATATCATAGTGTGTTTGAGGTAAAGTATCTTGAACTATTTGTTTCACATCTTCATTTGGGGTCATTGAAATCGGTAAGTTTTCGCGATAGAACCAATTTCTGTTAGATTTGTAAATCTTAGCAAGGTCGTAAAAGCTTTTGTTGTTTCTTCTGACTAAATGCAACATAACCATATCTCTGTCTTCTTCATTTTCCATCTCTTCAGTATAAATCATATACTTATAGTTCTTTTCCTTTCCTTTTGGTACCGAACGTGGTATTCTTTTCTGAATGTTTTTGTCTTTTGCTTCAATGACTTCATCTTTTGCTTGAAGTTTCTTTTCCATCTCTTCACGTTCTTGTCTATGAATTTCATCTAACATCATGAAAATATAACAAGCGTAACGAGGCGAAGCCCACATTGCAACAGCATTTACAAGAAGTCTATGAACATAATATCCTTTCAAACTATTTGGCAAATTTTTACGATTTTCGTACGGAATCTCGTTCCGCGGTTTTCCGCGGAACGCAAACATATGAGGAAATTCTTCTAAAAGTTCTTTTGTCTGTTGGTTTTCAAACCAATGATGTGCTTGCTTTGTAGAACGAAGAGCTGTCAAAATACTTTGCATTTGGTACATATCGTCTTTGACTGAACGAATGAGACGTAACTGTTTGTTATATTGTATGTACTCGTATTCTTCATTTATGGCTTCATGAACGATAGCAGGTGTTGTGTTCTCTGATGTTGACATATCTGTCTTTACATACAAAATAAAAAAAATATTTTATAAAAAATTAGCGTTATTTTCTTACTTTCACAAAAGACCAAAAATAAACGCTTTACATGTATTTTTCAGCAACTTCGTCAAGAAGTCTGTAAATATACCATGCATAACGAGGTGAAGCCCACATTGCTATTGAACTAACTAGGAACTTATGAACATATATACCTTTTAGATATGATGGTAAGTTTTGTCTGTCTTGGTACATCTTTTTAAGTTCTACATGTTCGAACTCACTGAGGAGTTCATGAGTGCTATTTAATTCAAACCAGTCTTGTGGTTTCTTAGTATCTGGAGCAAAACATGCTGTCAAAATACTTTGCATTTGGTACATGTCATCCTTGACCGAACGAATGAGACGGAGTTGTTTGTTATATTGTATGTACTCGTATTCTTCATTTATGGCTTCATGAACGATAGCAGTTGTTGTGTTCTCTGTTGTTGTCATTTCTGTCTTTACATACAAAATAAAAAAAATATTTTATAAAAAATTAGCGTTATTTTCTATCTTGTATAAAAGACCAAAAATAAACGCTTTACATGTATTTTTCAGCAACTTCGTCAAATAATTTTATAGCACTATCTATCTCATCTACTTCAAACGTTTCTTTACCTTTTATGGGAGCACCATACAATTTCTCAAACTTTTCAAGCAGTTCTGTTTCTGCAGCTCTCATATCGTTAACGAACACAACCTTAACTCTATTGACTATACTGTCATATCTTTTAGTTATATTATATGTTCTTCCTATCTTATATCTCTTTGTATTGAAGTCCTTCGGTTTCTGAACGATGTAAAGTAAGCCTTCACTGCAACGTTCCGTATCGAATGAACCATATGTTATGAAGTTATATCCAACAACTGGGTCTAACCATAACAAAACTATTGGTATAAGACTTTTGTCGATGAGATATGCTCTTGTTCCATGAAATGCTACTGATATCATAAGCTCAGGATTTCTTGTCAAAATTTTCTGAGCTGAAGCAATTCTAACCCAGTCCTGCGGTCTCTTTCCAGATGGAGATATAATGTCTGACAAAGAATATTTGTTGTATTTCTTTGAGTATCTTACGTTTAAATCACCTATTCTAACCACTTTGGTGTCATTGTCTATCTTTCTAACTGTTTCAAACTCAGTGTTTGTCATTTTCTGTTCTTACATACAAAATAAAAAAATAAAAAAAAATAAAACTAACGTTATTTTTTTATTTTGTATAAAAGATATGATTTCAGGGATTTTTTTTACGAAGTGTTAAAGTTCTCTTCGTCAAAAAATAACAGTTATATAATGAAATTTGGTCATTTTTTCACGATTTCAGGGATTTTTTTTACGAAGTGTTAAAGTTCTCTTCGTAAAAAAATACAGTTATATAATGAAATTTGGTCATTTTTTCACGATTTCAGGGATTTTTTTTACGAAGTGTTAAAGTTCTCTTCGTAAAAAAATACAGTTATATAATGAAATTTGGTCATTTTTTCACGATTTCAGGGATTTTTTTGACGAAGTGTTAAAGTTCTCTTCGTAAAAAAATAACAGTTATATAATGAAATTTGGTCATTTTTCAGCAAAAATATATTTTAGGGTAGAAGGTTAGATCTAACCTGTTTTCTAACCTCTTTTCTACCCCAGTTATTTTATAAGCGTTTTACATGGTAAACGTTATTTTTTAAATTTTGTGAAAACTCAACGGTTTGACACAAGCCCTAAAAATTATTTTACTCAGAAATTTGGTCATTTTTCAGCAAAAATATATTTTAGGGTAGAAGGTTAGATCTAACCTGTTTTCTAACCTCTTTTCTACCCCAGTTATTTTATAAGCGTTTTACATGGTAAACGTTATGAATTCGTGAGACTCTAAACAATTTTGTGGCTTCTATTTCTTCGCTGAGGATATCGAATGTTTTAACTATGCCGAAAGTCTCTTTATATTTCTTCTTGACGTCAGATAGAAGGAAATCGTCAGCAGTTGGATAGTTTTTGTTCAGAAATTCTAACATGTCCATTTTATCTTCTGCTGGCTTCTCTGCTTCTTTCTTTAAGTCAGCATAGTCGTTTCTCATTCTTTCTATCTCTTTGACGGAGTAGTTATATCTCCTCATTGCTGCCTTACATTTTGAACATTGCGGGTTCATTTTTGCGTTATATTCTGAAACCTTACCTGCAAGTACGACTAAGGCGTCAATGGTTTTCTTTAACTCAAAAGCTGCTGGTCTTATTTGTTTGTTCCATATTTTACATCTTTTATCTTTATCTCTTATCTGCCATACACATTCAGCAACTAACGAAACAAAGTTGTCGTAGGTCTTAAACTCCTCCGATTTATATATGTCAGAGATGTTCTTATATACCATGTCGCAATCTTTGTCCATGACTTTGTGGTTGCAATGAAATCCAAGAAACTCATAGTTTACCTTTCGTATGAACTTCTTTATTTCTACTGAGTCAGTTGCTTTGACTTCAATTTCGTCGAATTCAGGAATAGTGAGCTTTTGTTGTTGGATTTCAGGCAATTTGGGTAAATGGTCAATAATGTCCTGCATGTCGTAAAGATACTGTTCATTTTGTTCATCTTTCGCACAACAGTCCAAAGTACATGTTAAAAGTTCCTGCTTTATCTTCTGGATTTCTGTTTCAAAAGTATATGAAGAAGGAATGAAGCTTTTCATTTCTACTAACATAGATGTTGGATTCATGACTAACGAGTTTGGTGCTGTTGTTTGAATTGTTGTTGCTTCGACTGACATTTCTGTTCTTTTATACAAAATAAAAAAAAAATAAAAAAATAAAACTAACTTTATTTTTTATTTCGGGAAAATTCATGAAAATTCAAGAGGGTAGAAATGAGGTTAGAAAACAGGTTAGATCTAACCTTCTACCCTAAATTATATTTTTGGGTCCTTTACACTCATTACGATGAAGAAGTCTTGACAAAACATTTACGTTCATGTTTGACAAAACATTTACGATGAAATCATGAAAATTCAAGAGGTTAGAAAACAGGTTAGAAAACAGGTTAGAAAACAGGTTAGATCTAACCTTCTACCCTAAAATATATTTTTGCTGAAAAATGACCAAATTTCATGAGTTTTGGTTGAAAAATACGGTGGCTCGACCTCAAAACAAGCATTTTGTGAAGAATATACCAACCGCCGGAATTCCGCGGGTTGCTTTTATACAAAATTCAACGGGTGACAAAACAGTATAAGACTAGTTCTGAGATCTCACCACTTCACCTAAAATATATTTTTGCCGAATTCAATAAAAAGAAATGGTTCATTTACTCACAATATTTTTGTACAAAACGACCCCAAACTTTTAACCTCTCTTCTGCAGCTTCAAATGCTATCTTAGCGAGTTCATATTCTCTAAATTCTCTCTTTAAATCTTCTTGTTCCCATTGGTCTAGTTCGTATGGAGAATCTCTATAACCAGAACATATCTCACGTTCATGTTCTATTTGTTTTTCGCACATTTTTCCAACTTCTTCTTCAAACAAAGGTTTAGCATTCTCTACTGTATCTTCAAGTTCTTCTTCATCTAATTTCTCATGAACTTTCTTGTCTATGGAGTCCATAATTTTTCCAACTGCTATGCAATATTTTGGAGAAGCCCACATTGCTATATAGTTTACAAGTCTTGGGTCTACATACGTTCCTCTAACCTGTTTGATTTCATCCGGAATTCCTGCATGAATTTTGTATAAAAAGCAACCCGCGGAATTCCGCGGGTTGGTATATTCTTCACAAAATGCCTTAAAATACTCTTCCCAGGACTTATTTTCCAACAACCTTCTAAAGTCTTTCCTAAACTGCTGACACATATTTGTTGCATTTATATAACCATCCTTGTCTCTACGTAAGACTTCAATACCGTTGTAAGTGCCTTTTGTGAATGTTTCGCCATTAGATTTGTTCGTGAACGTTTTTGCTTCGACTGTCATTTCAGTTCTTACAATAAAAATAAAAAATATTTTTTTAAAAAAACCAACTTTTTATTTTATTTCGGGAAAATTCATGAAAATTCAACGGGTGAAAAAAGAGGTGAAAAAAGAGGTGAGATCGCACCACTTCACCTAAAATATATTTTTTGGTGGTACGTCGGACATTCGTTTGTGGCTTAACCGTCGGACATTCGTTTGTGGCTTAACCGTCGGACATTGTCTTGAAACAGTACAAGACTAGTTCTGAGATCTCACCATCTAACCTAAAATATATTTTTGCCGAAAAAAATGAGTTTTGGTTGAAAAATACGGTGAACCAAAAGTGGCTCGACCTCAAAACAAGCATTTTGTGAAGAATATACCAACCGCCGGAATTCCGCGGGTTGCTTTTTATACAAAATTCAACGGGTGAAAGAATACGAAGAAGAAGTCATGACAAAACATTTACGTACATGTTTGACAAAACATTTACGTACATGTTTGACAAAACATTTACGATGAAGTCATGACAAAACATTTACGATGAAGTTTATTTCCTGGACTGTTGTCAAAATGTCATGTTGTCTCATTTTTTCAGAGAAGTTCGTTTAACCGAGGGACCTGGTGACACTAAAAACCATCTACTCTAAACTTTATTTTTCAATACTTTTTCAGCACTTTTCCGTAGTTGTATATGAAAGACAATTCGAGATAAAAGTCATAGTACAATGGAATAATATGTTGCACACCATTTGTTGTGAACCAAACTTGAAAGTCAGAGAAACTGTTACTAGGTGGTTCGTAGAATTTAGAAGCAAAGTCATAAAAGTCCTTACCGATACATAGAAAACTATTGTTGCTTGAACTGAAACTTGCATGGCACATAACATTTTGAGGGTCGAACACATTTCTATAAACTGTCAAATCTGCTGGTGGAAGTATAAATTGAAATGGACCATCTGGTGGTAATGGTTCGTTCTGGTTTAGTAACCGAAGAAATTGTGCCCAAGAACGTTTGTCTACTCCCCAAAATAAAAACTCCGTATCTCTTGGAGGGTTAATTTCAATCTTTTGAAATGAAACGGTTGAGTTCATCTTGTCATATTCTAGTTTCAGATAGTATGTTCCATTTAGTAAAGAGTCGTATTTTTCTTGAAATTCCCAATAGTATTTGTTTATTTGAGTTTGAAAGTCATTTAGAGTTTTCTCAAGACTTTCGTCTGAACGAACTGTAAAGATTCTCATTTCGTCAAATTTTTCTATAAGACCATCAGAACCTTTATACTGACCATGAAAATATACTGCGAACATAAATGCGTTAGTTCTATTTGAAAACAAAACTCTTCTAAATCCTATTGCCTTTGCATCTGAAGGACTTTGAAGCCAACGAACTGGATAGTCAAACCTGTATACTCGGGATGAAATTTCTTCATCTGATATAGTCCTACCAGCATTTGTAAAGATATAGTCTAACGGTTTTGTATCTGCTACTTTTGTTCTTTGTTTTTCAACCTGAAGCATTTAATATATGTAAAAATATATGGTTTTAAAAACGTTTTTACTTCATATTTCTCATCTAACAAACATGTTGTCTGACTGCTTGAGGGTTATTTTTGTGCCATTCGAACTTGACGCTTGCAATCCCTTCAATTCCATTCAAAATATCGGAGTCGGAGTCAAACATTTGTTCTCTCTTTGTAGTCTTGAAAGCGTCAAGAAGTTGTGCGGCTGTTGTGACATTGCCACATGCATAGTAAATGTGACCGTCCAAATCTGTTATAGTCAATCTGAGATTGTGTCCTTTCTTATTTCCGTCTTGTATGGCAGCAAGTACACCCATGAAGCCTTCTTTGTTCTTTCCTTCGTCAAAGTTTACTGTAAAGGCTCGACCAGATGTAATTTGACTTCTAACCTCACGGTACTTTTCATATGCATATCTTGTTCTTTCCATGGGAGCATGACCATCCTCTGCACTACCTTTTTTCCTTCTCAAAGGATGCAATTGTTTGTCATGTTTCCAGTAGAATCTGGCAAAGCCGTCGTGTCCTTCAACTCGAGGTTCACTAACATCGAAAGGCATGTCCATAAGACGTTCTTCTTCTAACCTCTCTAGTCTGTTTGGATAATTTGCACGCGCTGTTTCCAAATCCATTTCATAGCGAAGACCAGACAATTTGTCATAGACTTTTATGGGTCTTCCCTTCCTATATTTAAAATTCTTCGAAACTCTCCAACCATATCTTTGCAACTCTGCTTTTATTCTAGCAGACTTTCTATCCATTCTATATGGGGGCATTTTTATAAAAATAAAAAAATATTTTTTTCTCTTTACTTTACATAACCACCTGAAGCCATAAGTCTTTGACGCCAACCCATACCAGCTAATGAAGGTTGACTTGGTTTAGTTTCCAAACTAAACTTTGGTTTTGGTTTATCTTCAGTTTTTGGTTTCTCTTCTTCTATCTGTTTTTCGTCACTTTTCGGTTCCGCTGACTTTACCTCACTTGCAGGAATAGTTGTGTCGTCAACATCTTCATAAATATCATATGCCATTTGTTGTTGTTTTCCTTTCAACTTTTTGTGTTTGTTGTAAAGTTTAGAATATTTCGACTCTAAGTCAATGAGATGTTCTATAATGAACTGATGGTCAGTGAAGTAAACTTTTCCATCTGTTGTCTCGAAAGCTCCTTCAGACTTCAATATTTTATTTGTGAGAGTCTGTTTCTTTTTTGAGATACTAGCCGTTCCATTTTTATGAAAAGTGACTTTGTAGTTAGGGTTTGTATTTCCAGACCTGGCACTTTCTATTATTGAATTTTTCTCTTCATCTGTAAGTTCTTTGACAGGTTTTGACAATGGTTCTGAACTTTTTGTTTGTGGTGTCAAATCTACCGTTTCAACTTCTTCGGTCATTTCATCTCAGTAAAAAATTTTAGTTTGGTTTGTTTTCAACTGGTTGTTTAGGTTTTTTAAGTCGGTCTAAAACTTCCTGAGGTATAGGAAGAACTTGACAAACACGTTGTGTAACTGCTGGAAGCCGACAAATCCATCTTGAACCCATTTGTCTCAATGCTGTATTGTTCATTTCATCTCAGTAAAAAACTTTACATTCCCCAAGTTTGAGGTGGTTGAGGTTGGTTATTGTTTACCCACTGTTGTGCATGGTTATATCCTCTGTTAAAGAATCTTTCACCTTGGTCCATATAGTGTCCTGCTTGGTTATAGTAGTCATTTGCTTTGTTATAATAGTTTCCTGCTTGTCTTCCTACATTGTCCATCCATCCTTGAACTTTTCCTCTTGTTTCAGGATTTGGAATAAGATTTGTTGCATCTCGTGCTACCTCCCAACCTTTCTGTACAGTTTGTATAATAGGTTGTGCTTTCTCTTTAGTATACCTAATGTACTCAAAATCTTCCTTCCAATCCAAATACACCTCTGGCTATTGTTCCCACTGCGGGCAAAAATCTGGATGCAACTCCTGCTAACGCGCCAAATAAACCCATTTCTTATGGGTTAAAAATGACGAATCCAAACAAGGACCCCTATGTTTCTAAAGCGACAAAGAAAGCACTCATGGTAAAAATCTTTAGTTCAACACCAAATGCTTGGTTTATGGATATCTTGGAAAACATTCCGAGAGTTAGAACAGATGGACCTCCATACTGGCTAATATTTGTTGGTCAAAACACAAGATACTGTGAAGCCATACCATTATGGTCCAAAAATATTTTAGATGTGAAAACTGCTTTGACAATATTCGTTGACAAATACCATCCAACAAAACTGACATCTGACTGTGAAAGTTCTTTCAAATCAGATGATATTAAAAACTATCTGCGTTCAAAAAATGTAAACCAATATTTCATTGTCGACCAAAACCATTCTGCTCTTGGTGTCATTGACGGTTGTATAAAAATGTTAAGAGACTTAAACCAACCACAAGGTGGTGAAGCAAATGAAATGTCATATGACGACAAATATAGACACTTCTCCATGGCAAAGATGAGACAAGTTTTAAATATTTACAATAGCCGTAAACAAAAAGGTTTGGGAAACCACTCCCCCGAAGAAATGAAAAACAACCCTGACTTAGAGAAAGACTATATATTTAATAGTTTAGTCAAAAGAGACAAACAAGAAAGAATACCGGGCTTCAAACTTAAGAAAGGTGACAAAGTAAAAATAGAAATACCTAAACGCGACCCATATGAAAATACTATTGACTATGACAACAATGGGAACCCGACAGGTACTCACCATTCGTGTTCGTAAAAATAGAAGAAAGTATACAAGAGAATATTATGAAGTTTTAGGCAAACATGGCAAAATGTACAACACTGCAAGCAGAAGATAAAACTACTATTGTAACCTCGTTTTCAAACTTGTCAAAGTTCAAGGTGGATATACTTTCAAAGACAGTTCCTAACAATATAAGACAACTCCTGACGAATATGCTAAAGAAGTTGAAAATGACGACTAAGCAATTCTATACCATGCGTAAACTGTCATGTAAGGTGGCATGTAGTCTTCACCCAAGCCTGTTGGATTTGTTGTGAAAGTATGTGAATGATTTCCTCCTGGTTCAGTTGGTCGAAAAGTCTTTTTTGCCGAATGGTTATAATCTGGAGATAAAACGTCATTGCCAGCATAATATTCTGAGTTGTATAATGGATGGTCTCGTAATGAGTGGCTATGGTCACCAGAAAAGTTTGTAGTTCCTGTATGAGTGTGCGGTGGAAGGTTTGCTTCTTTAATTTTCTTCGAACCACCTGTTTCCTTTGAAGAGTTTGCACAATACAAAAACCTGTCGACTATTTGTTCCCATGCACCAACACCAAACATTACTTGAGGACCTCTTGCTTCCATAGATGTATAAATAGAACCTACTGGGTTCATGAAATCAAACATATGAGATATTATAGGATTGTCTCTTTTGAACTTAAAATATAGTGCAACTATTTCAGGTTTCTTCTGGTTTGTGTCAGAATATTTTTTATAATATAATCTTATGTTTTCAGGGTAGGTAAAATCTTGACTATAATATTTATTTTTGTCATCTATATAATAGTATACTATTCTCGTTTTTTCTATTGCATTATATCTTTTATATCTATAATATTCTAAATATAATGTTTGCTTTTGTTCATCTGCGTGTAGTGCTCCGCCTTCAGCACCATAGTCATAATAATATGGTGCCGGAGCTGGGTCAGGCAATGTCATATCTGCCATTTCATAAACTCTTAAATATTTCTTTTGTTCGTCTCCATATAAGTTTAAGTAGCAGTTGTTGTCTAATGGAACTTTAACTTGTGTACCATCGTTCTTTATATAGCTTACATACATTTCATTGTTATTTTTCGGAATGAGTTTATACCGTATACCATTTTCTAAGGACTGTACCAACTGCCATCTAAAATATTTGTTTTCTTCATTGAAAGAAAAGTCACCAACAATAGTTTCAATATTTTTTGTTGTTCCAACTAAACTTTGGTATATTTCATTGACATATGTTTTATCTGCTTTCTTTTCAAGGCTAACGTTTAAGTCTGTTATTTCAGAAGATGTATGTGTATGTCCAACGTCACTTTTCCTGTTTAAGGTTTCTTGTAAGTTTGCAATATTTGCAATGGTATGTGTATGAGTCTTATTTGCTTTCTTCTCTAACTCATCGTTAACATAAGTTTTATCTGCTTTAAGGTCTAAACATCCTGAAACCCATCCTGTATTGGCTTTACCTTTTAAAATCTTCGATGTCCGTTCATGGTAGAGATGCGAGTTTCCGAATTTTTTTAGCCCTGGGATGTCATAACCGCTGCGGTTTTGTAAAATTTGGGATAAATTTTGACAATCCATTTTTTGTGGGATGTACGTTTATATCAATTTGCTCGGCGTTTGCCGAGCTATTGTACAATCCTACTCGAATTCATTACGCAGCCCTGGTCACTCAAAGGCCGGGGCATACAATTACAAAATAGTAGAGTGAGACTCTTCTAATTTCTTCCAATCACAAGGAAGATCTTAGAAGAGCCTCACTCTGCTCGAACACATTACGCAGCCCTGGTCACTCAAAGGCCGGGGCATACAATTACAAAATAGTAGAGTGAGACTCTTCTAATTTCTTCCAATCACAAGGAAGATCTTAGAAGAGCCTCACTCTGCTCGAACACATTACGCAGCCCTGGTCACTCAAAGGCCGGGGCATACAATTACAAAATAGTAGAGTGAGACTCTTCTAATTTCTTCCAATCACAAGGAAGATCTTAGAAGAGCCTCACTCTGCTCGAACACATTACGCAGCTCCTGCTCAACAATGAGCAGGTCTTACCACTTTGAGAGGCTTTCGCTCGAGTTCTGATGCAGATCCCAACGCGAGCGAGAGTCTCTCAAGCAAGCTTCTAATTTGTAGCTAGAGTTTCACTCTTATGAACTGGCAGCCAATTTGAGAGACTTTCGCTCGAGATCTAATGAAAAATCAGAACTCGGCCAAAAATTGCCCAAACAGGCTTGTAATTCGTAGCTATAGTATTGATCGTATGGATGTGTTGCCAATATGAGAGACTTTCGCTCGATGTCTGATATTGCATCAGACATCGAGCGAAAGTCACTCAAAACAGCTTAGACATGTCTATTTTGACGGCATTAAATGATTTCATAGGAAATGTCTCAGTTGTTAATTAAGTTCACGTGAGCTTTTATGAATGAAAATAAGTAAAAAAAAAGAATTTTCTCAAAAAAAATTGTGTACGCATTGAAATTTTTATCTATAAATTTAGATATGTCATCAATAATATAATATAATTTTAAATTCGTGGAGTACACTTGGGATAATTGAATATGGGCTACCCCATCCCAACCTCTCAAACTTCCTCTGAATTTGGACAAGGTATCCCAATCCCAAAGACCTATCTGAATAAAATGAAATAAGTATATTATATATATTATTTATTTGCTAATAATGAGCATAAATCGCTAAAATTATGAAGAAATTAAAAATTAAAAATTAAAATTAGAAAAAAATGTTGATTTAATGAGAGAATATTGTATAAAAATAGAATTATTAGCTAAAATACGTATTAATTTTATGATATTTCAATCACATTAACGAAAATCGCCCATTTTTAATTCAAATGGGCGGGAAAAAAAATAAAATTCCAAAAAAATTGAATTGGGGAAACGATAGGGGACGGGATATGAGAAACCCCATATGTTTGGGAATTTTTCGCATCACTAGTTCATGGTACCATTCAACCCTTTCTATAATTTCGTTATCTTTTTCATCCACATATTCCTTATCCGCCTTCTTCACTAACACACTAGCCACCCATCCCTTATCTGCTTTTGTCTCTAATGTTTCTTGTAAGTCTGTTATTTCAGATATAGAATGTGTATGAGTCTTTTTAGAATATTCGTTTTCAGCTCTTGTCACTTCACTTGACATTTTATTGTCAACATATGTTTTGTCTGCTAGTTCAGGATGAGTATGTTCTTTCGTTGCATAAGCTTTGTTAGCTCTTTCTTCTTCTTTTGCTATTGCATCGTCTACATATGTTTTGTCAGCTTTGTTGTCAACATCTGCTTTCAAAAGAAGTTCATTTATAGGTTTCTCGTTTAAAGTTCCTTTTGTTGGATTTATACAAACAGTATGGTTCTTAGTGTCTTGAAATAGAAACTCGTCTGTCATTGGGTTTAATGTCAGTTTTAAGTTTCCTTCTTTCAATGACTCAGATATCTTAGAATAGTTTGAAAAGTTTGTTGTGTTCTTATTTAGAGCTTGCATAATGAGTTGTCGGTTGTGTTGTATTTCTCTCATAGACGCTGTTTCATTTGACATTTTTATTCTAGATAAAATATGCTTTCAATAGAAAAAGAAAATTCAAGAGTTGCTACAACTAAACCATTAGATGAACTTTTTACGAATGTAGGTCAAAAGTTTGAGACAGAGACCGTAAAGCATGAAGGCTATCGTTTTGACTACCCGTTAAGATGGTTAAGAGACCCATCCGTCACAAAAGCTATTGGCTTTCGTAGAATGAAGTTCATTTCAGAAGCCATACATGGTTTCCCATTTACGGTCGGTTTTGAAGTTCGATACTATAACAAAGAAAAACGTACGTATGAGAAATTTGAACAGGGAAAACTTTTACAAGTTAGTTTGTTTGTAAACTTAGAAACAACTCTTCAAGCTTTTCAAGAAAAAATAAACGATATCTATCTCGAATATGCAAAACAGTACAACATTGACGAAGGAGAGTACCATCTCGATATTATTTATGACAGGAAAAATGCAACTGTTAAAATCAATAGAATAGAAGACCTTGGAGAAAACGTTTATATTTCTACAAAATATAACAACTTGGCATGGTATAGATTTTTGAGGATGTTAAATCAGCCTGCAGAATATCCAGTACACCCGGACTTTTATGAAGTCGAAAACCCTAATGGAACATATGAAAATGTTTTCGACTCAGATGCTATTATAGTTCATGCTTCATTTTCTGGCGCCCAAAACTCTTTCTTATGCTTGGCAAATGACTTTTACGAAAAACCTACAAAGCTATATGAACCACCAAGTGGAAGTATTTCAGACTTTCAAGTATGGTTTACAACAGATGGAAGAAAGAGAATAATTCCATTATACCATGCGTTTTACTTAGAACTTAGTTTCATATACAACTACTATCGAACGGTAAAAATATAATTTTTTAATACGGTTGAGGTGTTGGATTTGGTTGCCAACTAGACTGTGGTGCAGGTTCAGGCTGTTGTATAACAGGAGCTTGTTCTTCTGGTTCAGGGTCTTTAGGTATAATACCAACGAACTGACCTACTCTTTTACCAATATTTTTGACTCCGTTCCAAATTCCTCTTCCGACAGATTTTATTCCATTCCATATACCTCTTCCAACTCTTCTGAAGAAGTTTCCAATACTACTGAAGAAACCCATTTACTATATGTAAAAATCTAATGTCCGCCTAGTCTCTTACGTTTCCTTCTGAGTTCCATAGCATTTTTTAACTGGAGCTCATACATTCTGTTTCTCCTCTGGTAGAAAACATATTCTGGGTCAACTCCTGTGTTCGCGTCATCTGCATAAAGTTGTTTATATCCCACTTCAGGGTTTGTATAAAACTCTTTCCATCTCATATTTGCATACCATGGTGGCAAACCTAACGCAGCGTCATTTGACATGGCAGTTTGCATTTGTACATCTGTTGGCACTTGACCATAGTTTGCCATTGCAGTTTGTATTCTAACTTCATTTGGAATATTCTCTGGGTTTGGTTGTCCAGGTTGCTGTGCATTCGCTAAGTTCTGTGCGTCCATTTAATATTAGATAAAAATATCTCTTACGAGTACATATGCTGAACATTTGCAGACATTGGTTCATCTTCATATTCTCTGTACCTTTCTGCCACGTCAAATAAATAAATGACACAATGGAAAAAACCTAAAACAAGTAGTCCTATTTCAAACCACATTTACTTACTAGTAAAATTTCTTTGTTATGACACTTTCTCCGGTTTATAGGACCTCTCTCATATTCTATCTTGTCATATCTAAACTCATAGGCATGTATGTCCTCTAACCATCTCATAACGGTTTCCAAACCACTTTTATCGGATGTAAAGTAAAAGCATGGATGGTTATGTATAACGTCTAAAGTTTCTAAAGAGTCTCTCAAAGTCCAGTCTACTTGGTATTGAAAATCCCATGTGTTATAGAACGGCGGGTCCACTATAAAGAAAACATTTTCCTTGTCTTTATATTTTTCATACAACTCTGTCCAACGACATCTCACAAACTCTATACCCTCAATATATTTTTCTATGTCCTCTTTGAAAACATTTGTATAGTTAAGATATAAAACTTTTGACATAAGTGTTTCAATGTCATGAACTCTTATAGCACCACTATATAATAGTCTAGCAGATATACTATCCCAGTCTATATATTCTGCTTTTTTCAAAGCCTCTCTCACAATATTTTTCTTATCTAATGGTATACGTTCCATCTTACCTATAGGTATCTTTTCTTTTAACGCTTTCAATATATTGTTTGTGTCTGGAATATGTTTGAGACGGTCCATATAGTTGTCGAAGTCATTGCATATAATCTTTGAGTCTGGGAATATTGTATGGCACAAATGAGATATATAGAAACTTCCACCGAACAAATCTACAAATGTTAGACCATTCGGTAGTTTCTTAAGTTCTCTCAATAGAATATCTTTACATCTACTCTTATTTCCAAAGAAGGGTAACGGTGGTTTTGTAAAATTCATTTTATATATAATAAAAATGTTTTTTTCCTGAAAAGTGACAGAAAAGGCTTCTCAAAGTATACTTCCTTGGAACGCCCGTAACTTTTCCTGTAGCGACGATAGACCCTTACTTGTCCGGACAAAGTTATACTAAACATCTTCAGGGCTAGAAGGGGCGCAGCCCCTGGAAGCCCCACTACCTTTTTTTTTTTTTTTTGTTTATATATTCAAAGCATTATCCTTCGTTTTGAAATGTTGGCCAAAAATTTTCGTGTTATTTTTTGTGTTTCAGCATAAATTATGTATTGACTTATGAAAGATAAGCATTTTATTCATTATCATAAAGATATACCAAAACAAATTGATAAAATTTAAAAAAATGTGTATTTTAGTGGGTATTATTCTGGCCAATGCCCATTTTTAAACGATTTAATATTGACCATATCAATAGCCGACTCAATGTAAAAATTTAGATATTATTTTTTTCATTATTCAAACTTTGATAAATTTTAGTATAATGAATGATTTTGTTTCGTGTATGATACAGAAATGAAAAGCTTGATTAATATCATTTTGCATTTTTTCAAGAATGTTAGAGTACATCTACATTAAAAAATCGGATTCGAATTGCGATACTGCATCAAATTGTTGCACATCTGATAAGGATCTCAAAAGAGTAAAGTTAATTTTTTGTGTTTTTTTAAGTTTTGGGCCTTAGTAAAAACACCATCTTGAGCAATATTTTTGGGACGACGATAGGCCTTATTTGGCCTTACAGTGGACCCTTAATAAAGATAAAAAGGGTTAAAAATTAGTGAATTTAAGAAATTTCTTTTATTTTTTGCTTTTTTACTATCCCTTAAAATATTCTATTCATGTTAAGCCTTATTGCTACAGTGCTTAGCTCATGTATTCAATAAAAAAGTTAGATAGAAGTAAATTTTAGTATGTGTTTATTTAAGATCTGAATAAATATATTTGTATTACATTTATTTGTTCTTAGCATAGAGAGATTGGTTGTAAATGTTCAAGACTTTAGCTTTCCATTTTTCTTCAAGGAAATAACCACTTTCTGTAAAGTAGTTAGCGAATTCTATCTCTTCGTGGTAGACTTCATTTGTTAATCTCTGGAAATATGTGGTTTTCGGACTTAAATAAATTGTTATAACATATTTTCCTGTGTACCATGGAGTATGGATGCAAACAATAAGATTATTATTTGATGATGACTCGCGAGCGAATGTACCGTAGTAATGTTTCCACCAGACCATTGAAATTCCGTATTGAATTACGTAAGTGAGAGTTCCTGTAATGGACAAAATCAAGTTGGTCTTATATTTCTCGGAAAACGGAATTTGTTGCATGTACATATACATGAGTGCTATAGCGTGGAAGATTTTGCTGAAACCAATAAGTAATGTCAAAAAGCGCAATTGATAATATTTCTGTTGGGCAAATGTTTCTGCAAGAACTTGGTTCATTTGGCGGCGAAGTCTGCCTGCAGAGCTCAGATTGAAGCGATTTGGTGCCATCTGTCTGCAATAAACGTCACTTTTTTGTCAAAATGTTCATTTTGTCGAAGTGAATTGAATGCTTAGGAGATTTCGCAATGTTTTGAGAATTTTGACTCTCTAAGCGTATTGTAGTACAGATCATTGTTTGAAATAAACATGAAGTTACAATATTTCAAATTTCCTTTTCCCCTCTTATTTGATGTATAGCTCATTCGATTGAACTCAATAGCACTTACACAAACGAGAGTAGTTAAAGAGGAAAACAAATGCTTTATTGAAAATACTTAATAATATTTGTAATTTAAGAATTTCATATGAGTAGACAGCCATTCATATAGCAATGGATCAACCATGGCAGTTTTACATTCATGCATGTATCTACTGCATTAGGTTTGCTCTCAATTTAGGGAACAGTTTTCACCACCAAATTAGAAATTGCTTATAGCAACATGTATCTATTTGGACTAATATATATAGTTAATGCACTTATAATGAATGGGATCAAAACAATATCCTTGAAAAAAGGGAATTTATTTTTTTCAATATGAAATTGAGTGAAGTCGAGGACTACATTGATACCACAATATAATATAAACATAGTTTTTATAATACAAACAAATAAAATTCGAATAATTTAAAACAATAAATCATCAATAGCATTTGAGAATTGCATTGGTCTTCTATATTCTTTAAGCTTCCTATGCTGGAAGAACTCACGACATTCAGGACAATTTGCCTGTATATTTTGATGTGAACAATAATCCATCCATGAATTTAAGCAAGATTCATGGAAGCAATGTCCACAAGATGTAATCTCGCATTCATCTTCGTCTATTTCTCTAAGACAAATCGTACATGTAAATGAATTTCTTTCAATAATTTTATCTCTGACTTCTTTCCAATTTATATCTCTTGCCCGCATTTCAACAGACTTCATAATGCTTCTAGCCCATTCGAGTTCATGATCAATGGAATTTATGATTGCATCAACACAATCATTCTGATGTTCCATTGCACTTGTTAATCTACTACTTGCTCTTTCTGCCTGACGAACCACCCACTTCTTCATCATAATAGAACCAGTTGGAGCGAATTCTGGAATCCTTTTTCTGATTAAATATCTTCTAATTACTTTTTGTATCTTGATTGCTGAACTTTGAAGTAATTTTTCATTAATATGCAGATCAATTACTTTGTATACAGCATGACATACTGGACATTTTGGTATCTTTTCTTTTGTTAGCCTGCAAAAACAAGAAAGACATGAATGATGTACAAAATGTCCGCATGATAGGATCACAAGATTATCACTACCAAGTTTTGATTTACAAATAGGACAAATATCGTTTAAATAATTTCCTGTTTCTGCTTTCCTTTTTAATGTTGACAAATGATCGATGTATTTTGGCTGATCTTTTGGTGTTAAAAGATATGGATTATCCCTTTTTCTGCGAGCACTGACAGGTGGATTTTCACTAGGAGGTTTCACTTTCATTTCAAAGTTAATATTTGGATTTCTAGATTGAGCTTGAGGTTTTGATTTCTTAATTGGCTTAGATGAATTTACAGATACAAAATTATAATTATTAAACATCGGACGAACCGTAGGTTTAGTAAAAACCTTAGCTCGCCGCGATGATTTCATTATTATAAATTTTTTAACGTATACAATTTCCATTCAAAATTTTGGGCATTGATTACTTGTTACAACTACCAGATAATAACTTACTATACTAAAGTTTCTATTCATTCAGCTCTTTTGAACATATTTTGACAAGATTTACTGCAAATCAGCATGAAATATGGATTAATTACAAGAAAGATTTACACAGAATAGGTCTGTCTTGCTCATAAATTCTAATGATAGAGTTAATGAATCATTCTTATATTGATCTTATATTCGGCAACATTAAAAGTGACAAGCCAAAAAACTTCCTTGAATGGAGAAAATTTTTGACAAAATCCTCAATTTTTTATATGAAAACTGTTTTTGAGTGCGACAAAGTAGTATTTGATGTTGATTGGAGTCCTGATGGAAGGTATTTAGCTATTGTTGGCGCCTCACGCGAATTAGTCCTCTTAAAAATTGATGATGAAGATCCTTTTAATGTTACAGAGGTTTTTAGAGAACAAAGACCAAACATTATTAGGAGAGTTCATTGGTCACCTGATGGTAAGAGACTTGTAACTGCTGGATTTGATGGAGTAGCTGTTCTTTACGAATTTGATGAAGATAAACAACCAGTTTTAGAAATGATTGGCAATTTATACGAAAATGATAAAGAACTTAAATCAGCAAGATGGTCACATAGCGGAAAATACATTGTTACATGTAATAGAGATAAATCTATTTTCGTTTGGGATGTTGAAGAACTAGAATATATCGTGATACATACAGAACATAAGGGTGATGTTAAAGACGTTATGTTTTCACCAGACGATTCCAAATTAGTATCAGTTTCCTTTGATGGAACTGTTAAAGTTTGGTCTTCTATGGAGGAATACGGTAGTCTTCAAACATTCACTCATCATACATATACAGTTTGGGAACTCGCATTTGATAACGAAAATGATGAATTTGTAACTATTGGAGAAGACGGAAAAGCAGTTCATTATATCGAAGAAGACGGAAAGTATATTGATGCTGGAGAAATCCAGTTAAACAGGCCACTTGACTGTCTTTACGCTGTTACTTACAGAAACGGCGAATGGCTTATATCTGGTGTTGACCATAAGATATATATCATGAATGATACATTTGAAGAAAAAATTGGAGAGTTTGACACTGGCCAACTTGGAGATATTAACTGTATCAAGCCAAATCCCGAAAAACAGAATATCATTGCTGTTGCAAGTGATGATGGAACTGTTTTACTTATTGATCATGAACTCAGTTCAATATACTAATACCATTTTCTATATTATATTTTTTATATTGATAAACCAATAGAGTATTTCTTTTTAATATAGATAGAATGTTTTAAAAAGACATCCCTCAATAATGCTATTTCTTTTAAAGTTTAAATTTTTAATTTCTTCTTGATTTAGCATTTGAGATCCTGAACATGCATCGTTATAGCATACAATACGTATGTATTATCTATATGCTGTCAGCTCATTGGGTTTATCATATTATTTTTTTCAATATTTTCGTTATATTTCTATATCAAAATATTTGAACTAAAAACAATCCTATGATCTAAAAATCTGAAGTTAACAAAGTAATAAAAAAGATTTTAGAATCTTTACAATTTCGAGTATATTTTTCATAATGATAGAAAGGTCTTATGGGAGTTTATATCTCTTGAAGAGCTCCTCTGATATTTTAATGAGTGTAACGTCAAGGCGATCATTAATAATGGTTAAATCGAACATATCCTTAAGTTCTTCGTATCTTTCAAGTTCTCTTTTAGTGGTTTGGAGACGCTTTTGAATTTGTTCTTCTGTTTCAGTTGCTCTTCCACGAAGACGAGCTTCAAGTGCTTCGAATGAAGTTGGCTTGAGAAGAATGATATATGGAGTCATGTTGGACTTATATACAGCAATAGCACCATCAATGTTAATATCAAGGATGCAAATCTTGCCAGATTCTTCAACATGATGAATGGCGGCAAAAGATGTACCATAATAATTGCCGTGAACTTCAGCATGTTCGAGGAATTCTCCATTCTTGATCATTTCTTCGAATTTTTTGCGGGTAACGAAATTATATTGAACGCCATCTGTTTCTCCTTCTCTTGGCTTACGTGTTGTATGGCTAACGGAGAAATCAAATCTACCAGGGTAAAGTTCTCTAAGCTTTCCAATGATTGTTCCCTTGCCGATACCAGATGGGCCTACAAATACAATGGGACGCGACATTTTTTTCCCAAGAAAACTTCGTTTTTGTAAACTTCACAAATTTACATCGGGAGAAAAAAATTTCAATAGATACCAAGCCATTTTAAATTTTTAATGAATTCACTTAATATCATCTGAACATATGATAAAATGAAATCGAAATATTTTGAGAGATTTACATGGTTGTGGTCTTTTCATTTCAATTTTGTTTTTGTTTTTTCTTCTTCATTTATGCACGCATGTAAACAAGGGCCGTTGGGTGCAAAAAGTGACACTCATATATTTATCTCCATTGAGCATTTACAATAAAATTTTCTTTTGGATCTGCTATGCTTACATGCTTTTTCCTCATATCAGAATTAGTTCTGGTATTCAAGCAGAAATATGCATACGCATTAAAGTTAAATATGATTTGATATTTGAAAAAAAGTAAATTTGCTGCTAAAGTTGGGAAATGTAGAGCTTGATTAGTCAAGAATTTGATCAATTATTGTGAACGTACCATAACTGATATAAAGGCTTGCCTTGGATGGAGATATTGAAAATTAAAAAATTGAATGCTTTAAAAAAATTACCAAAATATCATGCCAAGCACGAAAATATGTAAGTAATTTCAAAATATCCAAAGGAAAGAAAACGTCTTTTTTATCCTCTTATTCGTCACTTTTTTGTCACCTTTTTGAATGACGGAAACTCCACTCCCTGTGAAACGTCCGAGCTCAGGGAAGACAGTTTCTTACTTCCTACAACATGATTATGGACATGAAATTACTAAGAAATATCAAAACCAAAAGCAAAATTTCCAAGAAATTCGTCATCTATACGAATTAATTTTGAAATCTTCTGATAAAAAAATCACTCCTGAGCATAAACAGAAATTACTAGATACTATTGATATACTACAAACAATTAAATCTCAATTAATTGAAGGTTTTTCCCATTACGAAAAAAATTCTCATAAAGAATCTCTTCCACCTGCCCATCCTCATCGCCAACAACCAAGAATGGAGATATTACGCTCAGTTTCGCAGAAAATTACATATAATCCTCAAACACATCAGAAACCACAAAAGAAACTCAAACGAGCATCAATTACAACAGAGACTACTTCTCGCCAAATTAATTCCATGACTATTTGGAACCAAGTTAATAGGTTTTATTCGACAGTTCCAACAGTTTCGAACCTTGCAAATTTTTTATATCCAATTGACATTACACCTAAGCGCGGACAAATAGGCCAACACTATTCTATTGCATATAATGATAAACTTAAGCAGAAATATAAGAACGATTCCGTTCAAATTCGAATTCCAGGATCAATCACCCCAGCAAATGCAAATTCTGGAGCATCACCCGAAGTAGTTTTTCATAGATTACTTTGTTCATTCGTACAACTTACGAAAGAGCGCCCTGTTGAAAGAAATGGAAAAAATTTCGAAGCCCCTCCAATTGATCACAACGCGGAAGCTCTATTTCCGAATGCATACGGTACATCAATATATACCAGCATTCCTTTTGAACAGAAACTGCTACTAGAAGTACAATCTTTAGATTTACATCCAGGAAAGAACGAAATCATTTCAGTTGATAATGACATAGCGAGAGAAATAGATCTTGCTAACGAAGAATACATAAACAGTCTCAAAAAGACAAATCAAATGAGAGCTTCCATTTTAGAGAGACTTAAAGCTGCAGAACCATCTTTAGTTGCAAAGGCAATGAAACTCAGAAAGGCTGTTTCTCAACCGGACCGTCCTGAAACTCCAAAGAAAATTCCTCGACCAAAATCTCGAGGAAAAAGCTTTGATGAATAAAATATTATTTGTTTTGATTATTTTAATTAAGACCCATCAATCTTTTTATCTTTTTTATTCAATAATGAATTAATTTTCAATCTTCAATACATTCTTCTTTTAAAACATTCAAATATTTAGAAAGTACAGCCTTTGCCAATATATGGACAGTAAAGGGTCGCACCACGAGTTAACTCTCCAGAGAGTTTGTGCTCTACTAATGGATGATAATTAAATATTTCTTCCATTATGAATGTAATGAAAGTGTAAGTTTTAACGCCAGATTAGTTATTATTAAAGAATTAAGGAATTGAGAATTATTTTTGAGAAACTTTTGGATTTAAACATTTTTTTTGATTTTGCAATACAAAAATTATATGCTCTTAAGGGTGCACCCGTATGTACGTTTATTTGAGAGGAGGAGGATTACCCTCTCAATTTTGAGGGATTCGTTAGTTTATTTTCTCGATGAATATGCAATAAAATTTGATTTTTACCTTATCAATATACTTCATATAATATACACATTTTCATGTAAAAACTTTTTTCCAAAATCCTCAGGAATTAAGGGATTTTTGAATTTTAAGAATTTTTTTCGAATTTTTTCGAAAAAAAATATTTTCAGAACAGCCTTAACGGCTAAGATTTAGGAACAATGTTAAGTATCAAAAAGAAAGGAGGTCTGATATAGACAACATATATCGTTGAAGGTTGAAAAATCTCTAATATTTGAGCCCAAAATTTCAAATTTTAATTTTTTGAAAAAAGAGGCCACCCGTATGTACGTTTATTTGAGAGGAGGAGGATTATATTTTTGAAAGGGTGAAACATTATGAATATGTTAATTATATAATAATATGTATTATTATAAAAAAGAAAAAATAAAGCACGTTAAAATTTTTCTTTCTTGATTTTTTACAAAATCTACTTAGAATTATGCAAAATATGACTAAATAATTATAAATTTCAAGTTAAATTTTAATTTTGATAAATAATTTAAATTTCAAAATATCAAGTTCAGTTCGACTATGTATGTAGTAATTCCTCAATAAAGTGCCAAAACCCTATTAAAATATATGAACATTTTCAACATTTTAATGTTTTTATTTAAAAATTTGTTGGAATATGAGCTTCAAACAATTATTATGTAAATAAAAATAATTAAATATATGTATTTATTCGTATTACAACCGTAGTAAGTCGATTCTTCCTTTCTTCTACTGAGTTTTGAATTTGATTTCGAATTGTAAAGAGATTCAAAGGGAAAATACTAGCGGATAAAAACTACCTCCATGAAAGGGTCATAATGGACTCAAGTTGTATTTTTTGATATTTTTTGCTTTTCGAGCCTAAATAGGTAGCCAAGATAATGCCTAAAAATAAGGTTCTAAATTCTGAAGTTTACATGATCCTCTCGTGTGCACCCTTAAAATCTCGGCTAGTTTAATAAAATTTAAAAATTTTACAAAAATAAATTTAAAAATAGCTCTATGATCATTGTGGTATTGAAGAATCTTTCAAATAGCTTTGGATAGGAGAATAGAAAAAGAAAATTGTAAATAAAAAAAGAAAAACTGCTAATACACTGAGGAAATTTGACCTTCCAATCGAATTAAATGCGAAAATAACAGCCCAAATTGTAATTTGCTTAAACTTAAAGATTGGAAAATCCAGAACACATGAAACAATGTTAAGATATGAGAAAAACAATAATAATAAAATAATTTCAGAAGAATTAACTCTACTGATATCGGATATAAATAATCCAAATAATCCAAGGAAGAAAAATACAACAAATGTTAAGTTATGTTCGTTTGATGCAAATTCAGAGAACAAAACTTTGTATTGCAATGTAATTTCGCACTTTGGAAGCTTAAACTTTGATTGAATGACTAATATACCGATACAGAAGTTAAGAATAATAAAAATTATTCCAAAAATGCTTTTGATTGACTCTAAAAACGCTCTGGTACTAAAGAATGATGCTTCGACAGTGTATTTCTTTTGAACAACTATTACGAAGCATATTAATAACGGAATAACCATATCTGGTCTAATGAAAAGAGTAGTGATCATTAATTGTATGGAAAATATCAAATAATATATTGCAGCCAAGTATCCTACATCTGATAAAAAGTATGCAACGATAAAACGAAGAATGAAAAATGAAAAAATGAAAGCAATGCAAAGAGAAATGTTACTTGTGAATAATGCAACTAATGGTCCATCAAATAAAAAGTAAAGAGCGCCAAGTGCCGACATGATGTAGTTGTTTGTTAAAACTAATAATAAATCAAATGCGAAAGCGATAAAAGAAAAGTATGCAATTCGGGGCAAATGAATCTCTAGAACCTTATTTCCAATGTCTTTTGCAAGGTTGTTAATGAAATATGCAAATGGTTGTGCCTCTTTTGGAATCGGTTTGGTATTCAGTTTATATTTTTTGTCCACATAGTTGAATATTTGGAATAAATAAGAAAGAATGATAGAAATCGCTATGAAAGTGATCATATAATAAATTTTTTTAAAAATACCGAGGTGAAATCTTGAATTGTACCTACCATGAGGTGTATTAGGTGTCATCTGTCTGCTTGATGGTGTGGAAGTGCGACTAGAACTCTGAGACATCAAGAAAAATGAAATGAATATTGGAAATTTCATAATGTAACGAGTTTACTTGACAGATATTTTTCCTCACAAATCTTGTCTCAAAAAATAAATTGCATTCAATTATAATTTTAATGGATTCTTCATGTATTCCAATAACATGTTGGAATTTAAAAGAAATTCAATTTCTGACATTCAGTGGAAAAAAAATTTTTTATCGAAATTACACCTTTCAATCTCAAATTTGTTAATCTAAATTTTAACCAAAATAGTAGTTAATCCAGATTTAATAATTTTTTAAAACAAAACAATAAAAAACACATAAAAAAGTTATATCTTTGTTGGTTTCATAGAAGTTGAAGCACGAAGAGTGACTTTGCTAACTTTAAGACGACTGCTTGACTTTGCAGATGAATTGGAAACCTGCGTTGATCTTTGAGGAATCTTTAATTCTCTCTTTTCCGGTTCCTTTTGTTCGACTTTTTTAACTTCAACTCTTCTTGCAGATCTTGGAGAGTCATCCATCATCTTCTGCATTCCTTTCATAGCAGTTTCCTTAACAGTAAGCTCCAAATTCTCTTTTTCTTTTTCTTTCTCAATTTGATCTTCTTTTTGAATCTCTCTAATCATCTCGTAAACTCCTTGAAGCTTCAACAATAACTCTGATTTCTCGCACGTTAATTGAGTGATTGTATCATTGATAGCTTGTGTCTCTTCCAATCTTTTGTCTTCCGCAATTCTCAATCTGTTCTCAGCAGCTCTTAATGACTGACCAATTTGTTGTCTTTCGCGTAAAATTCCTCTTTCTTTCGCTTCATAGTCAACTCTGAGATCATTGTATTCATCAATAGCCTTACGCCTTGTTTCTAATAGATCTTGGTATTTGGCTTTAGTTTCTTCGAATTCTTGCTTCGCTGTTTTGATGCTTTCGTTTCTTTCTTCCTGTAAATTTTTGTAACTTTCTGCTGTTGCATCGTACTCTGTTTTTAATTGTTCATTCTCTCCTCGTTGTTGAACTAGTTCGTTCCTCATGTGGTTCAACACTTTCTCGTCTTCACCAAGCTTTTCAATCGTCTGCTGGCAAATTACAGCAATGGATGTGAAATCAGACATTTTTGAATATTCAATGACAGAATTCAAATGACTAAAAGCTTTGTAACTGAAGTTGTTGAATTGAAGATCCATCTCTGGGAATCTCTTCTTCTGCTGCATAAGGTCAATAAACGTTTCCGCGGTTCTGTCTTTCAATTCGCAGTTTCTTAATGAAATGAAATGCAATGTTGAGTTTTGAGCAAGGGCATTAGCAAGAGGAACTCCAGTTTTGTCGGTTATAGAATTTCCTGCTATATAAAATTTCTGTAATTTGTGAGATTTCTTGATAAAATCTGAGATTCCTCTTGTACATTTATCAGTAATAAAAGTATCCGAGATATTAAGCGATACATAGTTATCATTTTCTTGGACTGTATGGAGAAAGTCTAAAATACATTCATCTTTAAGTGGATTTCCTGCAATATTAAATGATTTAATCTTTTTGAGAGTTCTGACAAAGTTTGTAAGAGTATCTTTGGCAGTAGGATTCAATTTATTATAGGCTAATGATAATTCTACAACTTCACAGTCGATTTGCAAAGCTCCTAATAATTTCGTTAATCCATTGACTGTAATAACGTTATGTGATAAATCTAAGACTCTAAGCGTATGATTATGCATGAGTTGCTTGGAAAGATTTGTAATTCCTGCATCACCAATCTCATTTTTCGATAAATTTATCTTTTTGATTGCACCCAAGCATCCAGCACTTTTGAAAAGCTTTGTACACCCTTTTGATCCTATTTTATTATCAGATAAATCAATGTTAACAATAGAATTATTTTTGTACATTGTTTCTCCAAGAAAAACACATTCCTCAGCTCCAAATCCATAATATGATAAGTTTAAATCCGTAAGCACTTGATTATTTCCTATAGATTCTGCTAGATTCTTGGCTCCAGTTAATCCAATCTTATTTCTGTTAACTCCATCTATTGCACTCATATCAATTGATTGTAAATGCGTATTACTGCCTAATGCTTTCATTATTGCTGCTGAACCCCTTGAGCCAATTAAATTTGATCTTAAATCTATTTCGATTACTTGAGGATCTGATGCTAAATACTCTGATAATGCAATTGCACCTGCGTCTTCAATGTGATTCATTGATAAATCAATTAAATAAATGTTCGTTAATGTGTAAAAAAATGAAATAGCCCTAGTAAAGCCTGTTGCACCTAAGCAAAAGGAGCCTAGATGACATGATTTTGGATGAAATGCATCTAAAAACTTTTTTGTAAAATTATCACAGGATTCTTCTTTCATTTCGATATCTAATTCCTCACATTTTCGTATATATATGTCTCGAACATTGTATTCCGTTAGTTCGTATTTTGAAACAGGAATTTCTGAAAGAGTTCTGGATTTAATTGGTGCTTCAAAGGATGTCATAGATCGCCTGTTGCCTGCTTTTGCCATCCTTGATGAAAGGATGTGATGCAGCTTGGTATCTATTGATCTCCTTTGAGCATTATTAATAAATTTTTGCATTCAAAATAATTGAGCACGTTTTCTATGAAACAATTCATTAAATTCCAATAGGTTGTATGAAATCTAGCAAATAGTGAATAAAGGCAAAAATAACATGCAAAAAGTGACAAAATTAGTCCTAAATTTTTAAAATGTCTTTAAAAATTGGTGTACGTCTTGGAGATATCAAAGGAGCTGCCGGATCAGCTTACGTCGAGCTCAATGATACAAAAGTTTTCGCTGCAGTTTATGGCCCAATGGAACCAGAAAATCAGCAACAAGATTCTGCACTCACAGGAATTGTAGATTGCATAATAGAAGATGCATGGCAAAATACAAAAGAGTATGATGCTTTATGCCATAAGCTTTTGCACACATTTTCTTCAACAATTTTCCACAAAAAATATTTCAAAACATTAATTCGAATTTCAATTACTATTCTTGAAAAAGGAGAGTTAGTACAAGATGCGACTACCCTTGCTGGTTCTCTTGCTCTTATTGATGCAGGAATTGAAATGAAAGATTTCGTTGTTTCCTGCAATTGCGGATTAGTTGATGGCAAATTCCTTCCATTTACATCAAGCCCACGCTCAGTTCGTGTTGCTATTCTTCCATCAACAAATGAAATAGTAGAAACAGAAGTTATTGGACGTATTTCGCCAGATGAAATGAAAGAAGCAGTTCATACAGCAACAGATGGTTGCTTAAATCTTATTGAATCCATTCGTGGCTATTTCAAGAATAGAGTTCAAACAAATCATTAGATGTGATGTTATATTATTAAATAAAAGAGAATGTATTATAAAACAATCTATATTTTGACATACAAAGTATATTTTCATTTGTAAATGTATCTTTTTTCATATTTTTATTTCTTCCGGAAGATTTGGAAGTTTTAACAAGTATATTGAAAGAAAAATACACACAGATAGAAAATGAACTAATATAAATATAGGTTTGGGAATATTTATTAAAAAAAAATTTTTTCTTTATTCAAGATTGAAAGGAATGTCCATAAATATATGTTTATGGTAAGAGATTTGAATATCAGAACTCGGTGAAATTCATTTGTTGTCTTTCAATTCTTCTAATTCATTCAATTCCTTGATTGACATGGATCTCATAAAACAAACAAAGAAAGTTCGTGCTGAAAGAATAACCAATGTTGAATATATTATTTCATACTTCATTCATGGCTTTGACAATTGTTGATGAACTAAGGCAATAGGAAATGAAATATTGTCTTCACTTGAAAATGGTTGTGAGTCACGAGCGAATATCTCGAAAATAGTCATCCATTTTTCAGCACCATCCAAAACAAATATATTTCAGTCAATAGCTCTTTCCCATTTGAGACTACCTTCTTCATTAACTTTGAAGCCGACTCAAAGCCTCAATCTTAAAACTCTATATTTATTAAAATTCTAAATTTTTAATAAAATAACTTTTCAGAGGAATATGATTTTGTAGGGTTGTTAGATTCCCGACGATAGGTGTCTTGGAAGATTTGCCTGGTGTCATCATAGTGTCTTTAAATCAAAAATTTTATTTTGGAGTTAGTTTTATTGATTTTTCAATAAAAAACATTTCTAAAACAAGAAAATAAAACGATAAAATATTTATATTTTATATAAGGATCTTATATATTTAAAATAAATATCATTTTATTTTTTTATTGGTGTCTGTCAAACCATAATACACTATTCAAAAATTCAATGTGTCTTGCGGTTTCAAAAGACACCTTCAAATTGAACGATAGTACAGACACTATTGAATTTTACCCATTTTATTTAGTTTTTACCCTTTTTATTTTTAAGAATTAATGACTGAAACAGCCGTTTTGCTATGACCTCAATCACTTTTATTTATTATTTTAAATATTATTTAATTTTATTATTTGAATAGGCCAACTTATATTTGAGAAGCTCAATTTGAGACCACTTAATACATTGAAATATCATAAATATTGAAATATTAAAAAGTGTATTTCAAAATATTGAAATTATAAAAATTTATAATACTGAAATTGAGACAAATTAATAAATTCAATGTGTTTTTTTTTGAAATAACTCTCAAATATTATTTTTTTGTTTATTTAATGATGAATAAATATGATTGCTTTAGTCAATCTTAAAACTAATTTAAGTTTAAAATAATGAAAGGATAATTTGATCTTTTTTTAACATACAATTATTTTTGATGATTTGCAAGAATCTTTGAAAAGAATATAATATAGGTTCTATTTTTGTAAAATTTATCCAAATCATGTATTACATAAATTACAATTAAAACGATGAAAGAACCAAAAAGTGTGTTTTGTGTTTTGTTGTTGCGTGTTGGATGCGGGATCCTGTTATTTCCGAAATCGACAAAAAATTTGGAAATTTAATTTCCGAAATCGAAATTATATTAATGTTTTTAATATTCTTATATCAAAAGGATTAAAGTTCATTAAGAGAAAAACAATTCTTCTTCTTCAATCTATTGGCGCATTTATTTCTACACGCCAATAAGGAAGGGAAAATTATAAGACACCATGGTGTCTTCAAAACGCTAATTTTTGATATTTTTAACAACCCTATGATTTTGAATGGTTGATTAATAAGTATAAAAATGTCTACGATTTTAAGGAGGGAATTGTTCCTTATGAGGTATACATCATAACTATATACCTCATAAGGAACAATTCCCTCTTGATAGCTGGGAAACTTTCTCTGAATAACTTATCATTTGGAGAAAGTTCCCCAGCTATCTATTAGGAACTAAAGGCTATGAGGCACTAATATATAATCAGTGCCTCATAGCCTTTAGTTTCCTATTAAAAACGAGAAAACTTGTTCGAAATGATAAACAATTTCGAACAAGTTTTCTCATTTTAAGGAGGGAATTGTTCCTTATGAGGTATACATCATAACTATATACCTCATAAGGAACAATTCCCTCTTGATATCCTGGATATTTTTGAATATATTTTTTTAATTAAAGTTCTCAAAAGTATTATCAAAAGTGATTTTTTTAAAATATCTCCAATTAATTAACTAATCAAAAGTATTATATTTTTAAAATTAAATAGTTTTTCAATTTTTTTGAAGGAATTGAGATACTTCCCACGACAATAAAATTGAGAGGTTTACATTATGACTGATCTTAGCATGCAACAATTATAATATTCTACTGCAAAATGAAGAACAGTTTTTCCATTTTTATCTTTTTCATTGATATTTGCGCCATTTGAAATAAGAACTTCAGCCGTTTCTTTACAATTTTTTTGCTGCGTAATGAAGAGCTGTTTCTCCATATTTACTTTTTTCATTGATGTTTATACCATGTGAAAGAAGAAATTCGGCTGTTTCTTTACTATTATGATCTACTGTAAAATGAAGAGCGGTTTTCCCATCATTGTCTTTTTCATTGATATTTGCGCCATGTGAAAGAAGAAATTCGACAGTTTCTTTACTATTATTCAATGCTGCAAGATGAAAAGCGGTTTTTCCATCATTGTCTTTTTCTCTGATATTTGCGCCATGTGAAAGAAGAAATTCGACAGTTTCTTTACAATTATTCAATGCTGCAAGATGAAAAGCGGTTTTTCCATCATTATTCTTTTCCTTGATATTTGCGCCATGTGAAAGAAGAAATTCGATTGTTACTTTACTATTTTCACATGCTGCATCATGAAGAGGTGTATTTCCACGTCTATCTTTTTCGTTGATATTTAAACCAAGTGAAATTAAAAGTTCAGCCATTTCTTTGCTATTATACCGTGCTGCATCATGAAGAGCAGTTCTTTTTTTATCATCTTTTTCGTTGATATTTGCACCATGAGAAATTAAAAGCTCAGCCATTTCTTTGTTATTAGATTTTGCTGCATCATGAAGAGGTGTACTTCCTTTAATTTTTTTCTCGTTGATATTTATACCGCGCGATATAAGAAATTCAGCTATCTCTTTACAATTATACATTGTTGCAATGTGAAGAGCTGTTCCAAATTCTCCCATTAATATATTAATATTTGTACCAAGTGAAAGGAAATATTCACAAAGAGATAACATTTCAAACAACGCCGAATAAACAAAGCATTGGTTAACATCATTAGTTTGATCGAAATAAACTAAAAATGGTTCAAGATTTTTATACACTGCACATTGATATAAATTGATCTTTATATTGTATTCATTCATCAAAAATGTGACACAATCAATGTTGTGTGAAACAATCGCATAACACATGCATTCAATATCTGGTTTCTGATATTTCAAACACTCACTCATGATCTCGGGATTTCCTCCTAAAAATGATAATACTAAACATCTTTGAGTTATTTCTGAGTTAAATTTCGTTCTTAATAACTTGAAACAATCAACTGCTCCATGGTAACAACATAATTCAAGTAATGAATATCCTGGTCTACGACCAATTGAAAAAATATTGATATGGTAATTGAATACAAAGAGCTGTTTCTAAGTATTTGATCTTTATCAAATCCTTCTCTTTCGGCAAATGAGATGAATGTTTCTTTGTCATTATACACAATTGCTTTGTAAATTGTATTTTCTGTATGAATGGATAAATTTTCTGATTGAATTTTTTCGAAACTATGAGATTTGTCTAATTTAATTCCATATTCTTTATAAAACAGGTAGTTAGAGATAATTGGAATTTGTCTGACTTCTTCCACATGATAATCATCAGATATGAGTTTGGCAAGAGATAAATATGACTTTGTATAGCCATTATTATACGGAATGATATTTAAGATATCTCTTATAATAGATTGTGGGCAAAGTTTCTTTGATTCAATCAAATTCGTTTTGATCATTTTGTAAATCTTGTTTAATTCTTCTTCATTTCGAATTTTCAGTTGATACAATGCATTATATGTATCGATGTATTGTTTGTAGTTTTCTCGCAATTCACTGAATTTAGTTCGATGAATGCTTTGAACAGACATTAAAAAATTTAAAACGTATATTTTCATGAAATTCCGGCACTTTTTTTGGACCTCTAAAAAAACAATCGTTATACTAACGAATATCGCTATTTGCAAGACTTCTTTTGATGAACATAGATAGAAAACATACTGAATTTTATTATATTGTGCTTTTCATGGAAATCTAAGAAATGAGATTAATCATCAATTTGATCACAAGATCAATTTTTTTATTTATTAAAAATATAATTATTTAGCATATGTACATAACAAATATATAAAAATTATTTGAAAAAAAAGTTTTGGTAATAGAACTAAAAATTCATGATTGGCATCAAAATATGCTTTCTTGTTGGCTAAAAGCTGATTTTAATGATATAAAAATGGCTAATTTTTGATAACCAGAGACATTTTTTATAAAATTTTCGGTGTTTATCGCAACGTATGTATGCATTGTTGAAGCCAATAAATTGCAAGATTGTATACAATAGGCTGCAGAGAATCCGGCATTGGTCTTAATGCATGATGTTATCGTATATCGCTAAATCAAATTATCGTGTTAGAGTTACAATATTGAAATTTCTATATCCTTGCAATGGTTCTATTTAATTGAGTATTCTATATCTGAGCGCCGATATATGCTGAAAAAAAAAACAGAAAATTCTAAACGGCGTAAAAATTTCGATAAATTGTAAAATGAATGAAACAGAAGAATTGAATATTGAAGTCCCTCCAGATGCTGATGTTGAAGCACTTACACAAATTCTTAAAGGGATGATGTCTTTTTCTGAAAATTTAGACAGTTTATACGCAGATGCAACAAGAGAATTGGCAAAAAAAGCAAAAGCACGTCCAAAACTTGAACTTACACCAAATAATGTTATATTATCAGTACCACCAAGCTACACATGGAATGAATTGCAAACTATTTCTATGAACGTTAAAAAATTATCATCAAGGCTCCACCAAATGAAAATTGAGCAAGAAGAGGCTCAAGTTGTAGCTAAGCAGACATTTGCGGACTTGACTGCTGAAAGAGATATGCTTCTCGAAAAATTAGAATCTTTACGCAAAATGCAACCTAAACGTAAAACAGCAGACGAACTTTTACGCAAGATTGCAGCAAAAAGAATGTAATTTTATTCCTTATTGTCTTTCTCAGACTAATATTTGTAATACTTCATAAACTGTTTTTATCTTCCTCTAACATTACAAAATTGTTTGAGACTACTTGAAAAGCATTGTTTTAGATATAATGTCAACTGTAGTTGATCTTTTTGAAAAAATTGAACTAAAGTTTAGCCTAATGGACATTGTAAATAAAAAGCAATCATAGCATTTAATATAATGCATATTTATTATAAAATTCAAACAATTAATTTTTCCACCCAAGATAAAAGATAGCACGTGGTTCAGGAAGCACAACTTTGTCTTTTCTTGCTCTAATTTTACGCTCGTTAGCACGCATGTATCTTCTGGCGTTGCTTTGGAGGTAAAATGCAGGTAATGGGCGGTGAATCTTAGCTTCTTCATCCCATTCGAATACAGAGTCATTAACAAATCCATGCTTAATAAAGAGCGATGTAAACATTTGTCTTATCCATGCGTATTTCGGAGTTTCTTCGTATTTAAGTCTTCTTGCGTATTTGTAGAATTCTTTGAACTCACGAGGTAAGCCAGCGCATAGGATATCAGGTTGCGTTTGTATTTTCATTTGCGTAATTTTTTCATTTCTTTCTTCGACGGATTTAACTTTTATTGACTGCCATGGCAATGATCCTTTTAAGAAGCGAATAAGAACATAAGCAATACTCTCTAAATCATCTCTACGTGACTGTAACTCACCAAGATGAGTATTGACTGAAACATAATGAGCTGTTCCAATCAAACCATTATTGCTTGTGTACATATAGTGCTCTTTTGTACTATCTTACTGATTACACCAAAGCAATGATAATAAAATTCGATGTCTATTTTCATTTCTTCCAACAAGGAAGTTATGGGGTTTAATATCTCTATGTAAAAGTCCAGAATTATGAACATATTCTATTGCACGCAGCATTTGGTCGGCAATCATCAAAACAGTCTTTAAATTGAATCTTTTTCCACAACGCTTGTATAAAGATTCTAAAGATGGCCCCATTTTCTCCATTGCAAGCACTCTACTCTTTTGATAATCAAATAAACCATAAATTTTAGGAATGTTTGTTCCTCCATCTAATGTTTTATAGCATTTGTATTCATTAGGAAGCTGTGGATTAGTTGCTGCGCCTGTTTCAAACTTCAATGCTACTATTTGCTGTGTTTCCATATCTTCGGCTTCGTAAACATCGCCAAAGCTTCCGCCGCCAAGATGTCTTCTGATAATAAAGCGATCATTTATAACCTGTGATATCAAATCTTTAGTGCGGGGACCTGCATTTTTCATTTTATATTTCTAAGTTTTTAGATTTTTTCGTAAATCATTCAAAAAGATCGTTACTTCTGGAAATTGCGTACTTTCATTTTTTGAGAAATAATCGAGGATCTTAGTTACCGAAATACAACAATAATTCAAAAGATTTACGTTTTGTATCGGGATTTTTCATGAGAAATTGCAATTCGACAATAAAAATATGCTATTAATACTATAATTTTTCATGAATACACCCATTTGGTATATAACACATGAATATGTTGTGTAATCCTCGGTAACTTAGCACATATTTCGCCTGTATTTATTTAGATGAAAAGCAATAATAAATATTACACATCTTACATTCAATTTAGGTCAGTGTATCTTCTAAAATTCATTAAGCTACCCCTAATTTCGCAAGTTAATTAGTGAATAGAACTTTCATTAGCAAATAACGCCTTTATCATACGAATCTGGATGAAAATCTTATTGATTTAGATATTCATGTTGTTATTGTGCTATTTCATATCTACAAACTTAATCTAAATGCATTAATGAAATCCGAAATCTTTGCGATCTGTGTTTTTCCGCCGATATAATATAGCATTTATTTTTCCCAATATAGTTTTAAAGATATTTTAAATGGTAAAATTGAAATGTAATCTTTGAAAAATATATATTATGTCCGATCAAGATACTCACCCAAATGAATACTGTGAATTGCGAAGTATGTGTAAATACTACATCGATTCATATAATGCATTGTATCAGCTGAAAACTGAAAATGAAGAAGAAATAGACAAGATTTACAAAATGATCAAAACAGAATTGATTGATTCAAAAAAATATCTTCCTCATACTATTCTAAATGACATTTTATGTATCATTCCGTTTAAAAATCGCTATTCAAGGGCTTATTTATCTCTTGCCAAACTCATATATGATAATTATCAAGTAAATAAGGAAATCGAAGTTCCATTAACTGGTGGATACCTATTTTATAAAGAATTGTTGCATGCTAAGTAGTGTCAACGATAGAAATTGAGAGCCTATTAATCGTCGAGGAAGTATGATTATTTTTTGGGCGAAAAAGTATCTTAAAATATGATTATTAATATGTTTTTAAAATAAAAAATTTGAAAGTTAATTTGAGATTCTCATATAATTTTTTGAATGAAAAAAATAAATATAGTCTATATGAGTTTTTTAATAATCACACTTGAGATATATCTAAAAAATAATTAAAAATAGAGTTTGAGAAGACTTTTCAAGGTGTAATGAAAAGTGTGATATAGAAAATAATTATAGATATTTTAATTTTATATATTGTGCTAAGCATTATATTAAATTTTTAGGAAAAACACTTTTCATAAGTATTCAATATTTGAAAATACGCTCCAAAAAAGAATAGATTCTTTTATATTCGCTTATATAAAAGGAGACTCTCTATCAGATGCGAATGCCTGAATTCAGCACCTCTGATAGAGAGTTTCCTCTTATATAAGCGGATCTTTTTCATGAGTTATTGTTAATATAAAAACATAAAAAGCTACCAATATGAGAAATTAAACCCTGCGAGGCACCAGTCTAGAACTGGCACTTCGCAGGGTTTAATTTCTCTTGACAAAATACAATAATCAAATGCTCCAAAGTTTTCAAATTTTTATTAGGAATAGGAGCCTACAAAGCACTGATTATATATCAGTGCCTGGTAGGCTCCTATTCCTTCTCTAAATGGGAGAAACTTTGTTTGAATAAGATAACATGCGAACAAAGTTTCTCCCATTTAGAGTGGGATTTGGAGGGTGGGAGGTACATAGATAGACTATGTATCTCTCACCCTCCAATTCCCTCGGGAAAGTTCGAAAACTTTGGTGCAATCAGCAACGATTGCACCAAAGTTTTTGCGTTTAATTGAAGGAATTGCTCTTTATGATATATACAGTTACAATGCATATATCATAAGGAGCAATTCCTTCCAGATATCTGGCAAACTTGCTCGCAATGGTTCACAATTGCGAACAAGTTTTGTCATTTGTCAAGAGAAATTAAACCCTGCGAAGTGCCAGTTCTAGACTGGTGCCTCGCAGGGTTTAATTTCTCATATTGGTAGCTTTTTATGTTTTTATATTAACAATAACTCATGAAAAAGATCCGCTTATATAAGAGGAAACTCTCTATCAGAGGTGCTGAATTCATGCATTCGCATCTGATAGAGAGTTTCCTTTTATATAAGCAAATATAAGAGAATCTATTTTTTTTTGGACCGTATTCTCAAATATTGAATACTTATGAAAAGTGTTTTTTTCTAAAAATCTCAGAATATATTTACAATAGTAAAATAAATAAGATATTTAAATTTATTTTTAAATGCTTTTTTTTATATGAGATTCTCAAAAGTTATATCAAAAGTCTGTTTTTTCTAAAATCTAATATCATAATCTATTTCTCATTTTAAGTACATCTTAATTCATTTTATTTTCTATATTTTTTCAATATTTTTGAGGGAATTGTGTTGCTTCCCCGACGATAAAATTGAGAGGTTTACACATTGACACTACTTAGCATGCAACAGAATATGGAATTAAATTCAACAGGATTTATGATTACGAAAAATTTCAGATCTTGAATATTGGAATTAAATTAGAAAATATCAATATTCATACAGAAGATACAATTTACAGAGCAATTATGTATAATGACTTAGAAAGATTCATTATATTCACTGAAAGAGATGAATTTGATAAAAATCAAGAGCTCAAAAGCAGTTTATATCCATATTCTAACGGAAAATATTCATTACTTGAAATATGCTGTTACCATGGAGCAGTTGATTGTTTCAAGTTATTAAGAACGAAATTTAACTCAGAAATAACTCAAAGATGTTTAGTATTATCATTTTTAGGAGGAAATCCCGAGATCATGAGTGAATGTTTAAAATATCAAAAACCAAATGAAAAATGCATGGAATATGCGATTGTTTCACATAATATTGATTTTGTTACATTCTTGATGAATGAATACAATATAAAGATCAATTTAATATATTGTGTATGGCATCATAATCTTGAATCCTTTTTAGTTTATTGGGATCAAACTAATGATATTGCAGCATGCTTTATTAATTCAGCAAGGTTCAATATCCCATCTCTTTGTGAATATTTCATTTCCAATGGCGTTCATATCAATGCAAAAAATAAAGATGGAATTACCGCACTTCATATTGCAGCAATGAGTAATAGTAAAGAAATAGTCGAACTTCTTGTTTCACATGGTGCAGATGTCAATGAAAAAGATAAATCTGGACATACTGCTCTTCGTATTGCAACACGTAATAATAGTAAAGAAATAGTCGAACTTCTTATTTCACATGGTGCAAAGATCAATAAAAGGTATTCTGCGATGCCATAAAAAAAAGTCTCAATTTTTTAAAAATGGCTGAAAATATTAGGATAGATCAGGGATACTGTTAGGAATTTTTTTTGGAAAACCGAACAGTGGAAAATGGCTTATAAAATTTTATTTTTATAGTATTCAAAAATTGAATTTTTTTTTGCGCCGTTCGTAGAATAGTGTGATCGTCGAAACTTTGTCAGTATATACTCTGACTATGATTGTACTCATAGCACTTATGGTTGTCCAAAAATATTGCTGCCATGTAGAGATAAAGTAATTTTAAAAAATTGTAAACTATTCAAACCATCCGCCTTAAAAAAAAAGATAAATAAAGTTTTGAATTAACATTTATTTTATTGTGGTTCTTCCATTTCTAAAGGAAGTTTTCCGTCCTTATTCTTAATTGTTGCATTAGCAGCAGATCTGAGCAAGTATCTGGCTGTGTGAGGTGCTTCATATTCAACAGCGTAGTGAAGTGGAGTATTTCCGTTGTCATCAAGAGCATTGATATCAGCTCCCCACTGCAAAAGCTTCTGGCATATCTTCGAGGAATCAAATCCTGATGCAAGGTGAAGTGGGGCGATTCCCCCTCTGAATTTAACCGAAACCATGTCCGGCCACTTTCTGAGCACTTCACCTAATTTTCTGACATCGTTGTTCTTGCAAGCTTCCTGCATTGTGTTATGTGCTATTTCACGTTCGCGGACAATATCAACTGGTTTGCGACCTTCTTTGTCTTTAATTGTTGAATTTGCTTTGATATCTGCAAGGAACTGGATCATATCCTTTGAATCCTTTGATGCAGCAATATGGAAAGCTGTGCGACCACTTCCATCTGCGATATTTGGATCGGCGCCGTTTTCGAAAAGAATTTTCATGATTTCGAGGTCGTTTTCGAGAGCTGCTGTAGTAAATGGTGTAATTCTATTTTTACCACGCTCGTTAACGACTGATTTCTTCTTCTGAATGAACTTTTGAACTTCTGCAACATCATGAAGCAAAATTGCATCGAAAATGCTGGTAATTTTTGTTGGTAAAGGTGCAGCCTTTGGTTTATTAATGGCTCTGACTGGAGTTGGGTTCTCAGGAATAGCCAATGGCTTTGTAATGTCTTCTTCTTGTTCTTCGAGGTCTTTCATCATTTCTTCTTGGTCATCTGCTGGTTTTCCTTGGGGTTTGTTGTGTTTTGATGGTTCTTCATGCTTTGGCTGTTCCTTTCCTTTCTTTTGCTTCTTTGAATTTGACTCATTTTGATGTCTATGCTTTTCTGCTTCTTCAAGTAACCTTTCGGTATCCTTTTGGAGTTGGATCTTCTTAACTAAACCTTCTACTTCAGATTTGATTGGAGCAATCTCGACATTTAACTTTTTCTCTAATTTAGCTCTTTCTTCAAGGAATTCGTGTTGTTGAGACATGTATTCTAAGAAGTATTCGCGTTGTTTTGGTGTTTCATCGAATTTAGTAAGAAGTTCGTCGTATCTTTGTTGAAGTGCATCAACTTTCTTTTGGAATTGATCTTCTTCGTCTTGGTAATGGGCCTTTTGATCTTCGAGTTCTTTCTTAGCTTTTTCTTGTTCAGCTGCGAGATTCTCGGGGCCTATTGTAGCTTCTTGTTTTGATTGTTCGATAATTTTCATAATTTCCTTAATATCATTAGCATATCTATTGCGAGCATGCTCTATGCAGGCTCTATCGTATTGCCTGTAGATTTCAAGTGGTTTTGGAGGCTGTGTTTGAATGAAACCTGATTCTGGGATTTGTATTGGTGCTGGCAACTGAGAGCAAGAAGTTACCTTGGAAACAGCTTCAGCAAGTTGTTCTGAAGAGCATGGCTTGATTGGGTCAATCAACTTGGTCGCATCTTTATTTACAGCGTTTGATAAGTTTGCAAGTATGAATTGGACGTTCTTTTCTGTAAAGTTTTCATTTGAGTTTTTAATGCAACGCGAAACTATTTCGATTGGGAGTTTATAAAAAGTTGGTTCATCAAGGAAACAAAAAATCATATCACTAATGGTACTTTCGAATTTGGAGGTATCCTCTTCTTCAAATGCAGCATTAGCGATCAATGAAATATGCTTTTGGACCGATTTCATTCCTATTTATGCGAAAAGTGACGTTTAAAAATAAAGCCAGCGAAAACATCACTATTGAACTTTCAGTAAACATTATACTACACAGGACCAAAAACGAAAAATCATACGAAATTTTCGCATTTTCATATAAAGAAAGATTTGGAAAACATATCATTTATTGAAATCAAAGGAGATACATAAACAACATGCTTTAAAAGCTTATTTCAAGCTGCTTTGTTATAGTATTGGTCATTGAAATCTTAATAAAAAAAATGTAATACAAATTTACGAATATAATAATAACTTTATTTAAACATTATGGAAAATATACTCTAATAACCAACCAAACAAGAAAACCCAGATATACAATACAAGAGCGTGGACAAATGGTTTCCATCCAGAACTCTTGAGAAGGAGTTTGAGATCTGTAGTTACACCAACGCAAAACATAGATGTAGATAAGGCGATAATGATGATTTCATTCAAAACCTTGTGAGCTTTCTCACTGATATTTGTATAACTGTTAATGATTGTAGTAATAATGAAAATGAAAGCGAACCATGGAATTGTAATCTTATTGAAGAAGTCTAAGACCTTATAAGAGCATGTATTTTCTTCTTCTGTCTTTTCAGTGTTATCATCTTTCTTTTTATGTATGAATGGAAGGATGAAAGCCATAGCAATGAGAAGGAATGGAAGAAGAAGAACTTTGAACATCTTAACAATCATTGCGAACTTTGAAACTGTTTCTGAGCAGCTTAAACCAACGGAAACTGTATGAGCGATCTCTTTGATTGATATACCTGCTGCAATACCGAAGTTTCTCTCTGAGTGGAAGAGTTTATCATGGGCTGTAAAGAGAATTGGGTATAAAATGATATCAAGGAAGCCGCCAACAATAACAAGGATGCATGCAAGAGAGATATCTTCACTTCCTGAGTTGATAATACCTGCTGATGACATGATGGCCGCAATGCCGCAGATGCAGAAGCCGCAAGATTGCAATTCAGCTTGTTCAGAGCGCATCTTGAGCAATAATCTGCCAAATAATGAGCCTAAAACAAAAGTAAGAATAACCATTAATATGGCTGAAATTGCGCCACCCCAGCCAACATTACCGATATCAGAAAGTTTGGTTCTAAAACCATAGAGGATAACAGCCAATCTCATAAACATCTGTTTGCTGAATCCAACGCCAGGTTTGCAAAAATCTGAATGGACAAGGTCCTTAACTTGTGGGATTAGGGCAAGAAGAACGCCAACAACGATTGCAAAAATGGATTGAGAAAGCATACATTTCTCGTAATTCGGGATAAATCCTAAGCACCAGAATAAAATGCCTATGATTAAAAATATAGGCATAGTCTTCCAGACATTAGGATTAATAAACTGATACCAGTATGCCTTTGTCATTTCTCCATATGTTTTAAGCTTCTTTGGTGGCTTTTGGGCTTCAACATCTTTCTTTTCTTCTTCTTTTGGTGGATTATCAAGATCCTTGCTTGTTGAAGATGAATTAGATTGCTCATCTACAATATCTTCTAGCTTCTTTCCATCCTCTGCTGGTTCGTTACTCATTTATGAGAAATGAAATTTAAATGGGAATAATTTTTCTATGTATTCTGTTAAACATTTCTGTTTCGATCGTCTTGAGGGAAAATGAAGGTATTTATAATGTGTATCCAATAAGCATTAACTTTCTTATGACCGAAAAAGTTTGGAAACCTTTGAATATATCTATGAAAAATCATGATTACTTTCTACATTTGTAGTCAAATCAGTGTGAGGTATAAAAATTTAATTGAAAGGGTTTAAAAAATATTGAAAATTTTTTTGAATATAATATGAGCGATTTCCATTTTATATGGATAAAAGAGTATTATTGAATTTTGATTAGTTTTCATACACAAATAATGCGATAATTGTGCTGAAAACTCTTATATCAGTTCCATTTAAGTAGTTGTTATAATGGAGTATTTTTCTTAATAAATATAATTTATCTATTTCTGAATATCTGATATTTGAAAAAGTGATGTAAATCCGCTCGATCATAAATTTGACAAGGTATTCTTTTTCAAATCTGAGCTGAATGGCCAACATAAATAAGTTATTATATTTGCTATGGTGATGATATTTTTTATATTTTTAAACCATTGATAATTACAGCTCTATTCGTTGAACATAAGAAATGATATTGGATATGATTTCTATGATCCCTAATATTTTCAAATTTCAAAAAAATCTAAACAGGTTTTCAAAATAATTCATATTTTATTCAACGAATAGAGCTGTAATTATCAATGGTTTAAAAAATCTGAAAGCAAAGCTCATCAGCGCATATTCGTGGTTGTCAGAAACTGTTTTGAACTTTTTTAAAAAATGTTCCCAAATTTATTTTTATTAAAGAATAATATCTTCCAAAGTCCAGCAGGCAATAAGTTCTACATGCAAATTCTATTTTTTGCTTTACTAACAATTATTTCTAAATTAATTTATTTCGGTATCAGAATATTAATGTCTATTTTATCCTTGATAGATTATAAAACTGTGATATTGATGACCTCTGATAATGCATACTATTGTAAATTACATATATCCTTAGATTCATATACATTTATGGATTTCAACTAATCTTCTTCCAATCTATGACTTAAATCCTATAATATTTCCAACTCATAGTTAATTTTCGAAATATTAAGCTGTAAAACTAGATGAAATCTTTATTTTGATTTTTGATTCCAAAACTTTCAAATGTTATTCGCCAGCATTGAATCTGAATGGAATTTGACCTAGATCGGTATTTGCTAGTTTCCTATCAACTGCTGAAAGAAGTAAGGTTTCATAATTGATTTTACATGGATATTCTTCATATATTCTCTTTATTAACTCTAAGTATGCATAACTACAACGTGATCTATCCATTCCAACTTTACTCAAAAGTTCAATGATCTTCTGTAGTGTAAAAAAACCGGAATCATTTAAGGGTGCCCTATAACGATAATGTAAACATCACAAAATTAACCTTATTAGAACTCGAATGAATGGATTATCCAGATTCTAGTTCTCAATATAATAGCCTTAAAAGTGCTTTTCTGAGGGTGGTTTATCGTCTATAGGGCACCCTTAAGTTATTTTTAATTTTCTTAAGGCTGCACTTACGCCCATCTGACTTTAATTCAAATTTTTGACAACTGGCGTGAAGCGTCATTGAAAATTAACCTTAAACAGCTGAATTGAAGGCCGTGTCATAGGGGCGTATGTGCACCCTTAATCAATCCTATGGTTGAGTTTAATTCATCAGAATCTAGTTTATATAATAAATCAAAAATATCAAAAATTCAAAAGGAGTAAAATATATTTTGAATAGTTGCTTGATACTTTTCTGGCGTATTTATATGTCTGCAAAAAGTGTCGCAACTATTTTGAATATATTGGCCATTTTTTGACATCAATTAAAAAGTTAATATATATTAGAAATATACTCCAAACTTTTTCTGAGCTTTGCTCAGAAAAATTGTTTGGAGTGTTGTGCATGAAAAATAGCGTGACTTCACTTTTGACAAAAGTGACACTATTTCTGATGGTTTTGTCATTTATTTGTCAGATTTATAAATGGATAATAATGCTGTAAATCAGATATTAATTAAAAATATTTAAGATTTATGTTCGAATTGAAAAGCAAAATGATATTTTTTTTTAATTGAAAAACGTTAATATCTGATATTTTGAAGTTTTTAATATTTGTTAGTATCTTAAATTATTGAATGCATACGTTTTTTATGTTCTCAATTTTAAAAAAATTGTGAAGAATTTAGTTTTTTGGAGATGGATGTTTAATATTTGTGAGTGAGAATGCAAGCAGGAGTTTGGTACTTTAAGGCTAGGTTGAGATAGATTTCCCATTATATTATCTGTGAATATATTGTTTGAAAATTCAAGATATAAAATATATTATCAAAAAATTTTATATTTTTAAATACAATCGGGTGGAAATATAGTACAATGAGATAGCAATGATATATTTTATAATGGGAGGTAATCTGAAGATAAGTAGCAAATTTTATGCGATTTTGATTGGGAGTTGGAGGGTGTGAGTACTATAGCATGTAATAGTATCTCACACCCTCCAATTCTTCCTATGGCGCCGAAAAATTTTTGGTGAAATGCGACGACATTTCACCAAAAATTTTTCGGCGCCATATAGAGAACTATAGTCTGCGAGGTACTGATTTTATCTATGTACCTCGCAGACCATAGTTCTCAGCCAAAATGGCTAAAAATTGGGTGCAATGTAAAAAATTGCACCCAATTTTTAGCCATTTTGGCTAAGAATTGGAGGGTGTGAGTACTATAGCATGTAATAGTATCTCACACCTTCCAATTCTTCCTATGGCGCCGAAAAATTTTTGGTGAAATGCGACGACATTTCACCAAAAAATTTTCGGCGCCATATAGAGAACTATAGTCTGCGAGGTACTGATTTTATCTATGTACCTCGCAGACCATAGTTCTCAGCCAAAATGTCAAAAATTTCGGAAATTCGAAATAATTTTTTTGAGAAAAAATTAACCGTTTAACATAATATTTATAATATTGCTTATTCAATTAGACGGATTAAAAATTATATGTTTTCGAGAGAGGGTCAAAGTTGCTATTTGTCACTTTTCCACAAAAATATAATGGGAAAAAAGTTATCATATAGTTGATCTCATTCACTGAGGTGAGAGATGCATGTAGTGTAATGTGATAAACAGTGGGATTGCTGCTCTAAGTCCTAGGTTCGAGACACATTGGCTTCATTTTTCTCTTTTTTATTGACGTAAACTATTCAATTTTTGTGTTCTCCATTCAAATTTCAGAATTTTTTTTGCAGATTTCACGCTACATTCGAAGTTACCTTTTGTAACAACCACCACTGCCTACGAAAGACGAAAGTGTGTCACGATTTCACCCGGAAATCCGACGGTTGTTTAAGAGTAAGCACTTTTGGCACCTACTCATATGTTTTCTTTTTATTTTTTTCAATTAAATTATTAGAGTAGTAGGATATGAAGGGTTTTGTGACTTTTTTTGTTACGTCTATATATAGATGAAGGTATATTTTCACATCTTCTATATATAGATGATATAAAAATTTTTTCTTACGTTTTTTAAGTCATGAATTCGTAAGAAAGCGCGACATTATTAAATAAATTAGTAATAAATATTATATACTAAACACATTTTAAAATATATTTATTTATAAATCATTAAAAAAATTAACATTAATTTTAAAATATATTTATTTATAAATCATTAAAAAAATTAACATTAATTTTAAAATATATTTATTTATAAATCATTAAAAAAATTAACATTAATTTTAAAATATATTTATTTATAAATCATTAAAAAAAATTAACATTAATTTTAAAATATATTTATTTTTTATCTTTTATAAAAGAAGCTATATATAGATGATGTCAGATATTCCGCGATTAATTAAACATTGTTTAAATCCTGAATGGGTTAAACTTCAATTTAAAAATGAAGATTGTGAATTATTAAATGAATATGAAAGCCAAAATAAGCTAATGTGGTATAAATATAATGATAAAGAATATTTAATTTCATGGAATCAATGGAGTCATAATCAAAGACCTCATAAACGAGAAGAAGAAATTGAAAATAATGAAATGGAAATCATTGATGACATTAAAGAGGATGGAATTCCTAAATTTTGTAGAAAAACCTTTAGAACTAAGTTAGGAGCATATAAACGTAGAGTATTAAATCCTGAATATCTTAAACATCAATTTAAAAAGGAAGACTGTGAATTATTAAACGCTAATGAATATGAAAATGCTAAATCAAAACTGAGATATAAATATATTGGAAGTGATGAAAGATGCAAAGATAAAGATAAAGTTTATTCAGTTTCATATAATAACTGGCACACGTTAGGAATAAGAAAACATTTAGGAGATTATGGGAAATGTTCTGAATTCTTTAAATCTAGTATATACGAGAGAGTAAAAGAAATTAGAAATAATTATTTTCATGAATGAAAAATAAACTTTAAAAATTCATGTCTTACGAAAAATTAAAACTTAGTTATGTTTATTATTTTATTTTTTTATTTTGTATGAAATGAGCGTCAAAACTAACAACGTTAAAAAATTAGGATTCACAAACGAGGAAATAAAGGATATATTAGAGGAGGTGGGTTATGAAGTTGATAAATATTATTTAAGAAATTGTCAAAAATTTGCTGAGTTATTAAATGATTTAGATTATGATGGAAAAATGAATAAAGATGATGTTATAAATTTCTTATATCCTACATCTGAAGAAGAAAAACCTAAAGAACCTGATGTTTTCCCTGAATATTATGAAGAACGGATTAAAGATGATGAATACAATGAAATTGAAAGACTGAAAAAAATAAGAGATGAAATAGATGAAAGAATTAAGGAATTAAGAGAAGTTGAAAAATATAATGAAAATGAAGTAGAGGGTTTAATGAATATCCCAGCTTCAGAATCAGAAGTTCAGAAATCTCATGAAGAAAGATATAAAAATTATGTCTCAGAATCAAC